TGGGGAGTGTGGCTGGGAGGGTGTGTGTGGAGGGTGGGGAGGGTGTGGGAGTGTGGCTGGGAGGGGTGTGGGGAGTGTGTGGGAGGGGTGTGGAGCTGGGAGGGGTGTGGAGGGTGGGGAGTGTGGCTGGGAGGGGTGTGGAGGGGGGAGTGTGGCTGGTGTGGCTGGGGAGTGTGGCTGGGAGGGTGTGGAGGGTGGGGAGTGTGGCTGGGAGGGGTGTGGGGGTGGGGAGTGTGGCTGGGAGGGGTGTGGAGGGTGGGGGGAGTGTGGCTGGGAGGGGTGTGGAGGGTGGGGAGTGTGGCTGGGAGGGGTGTGGAGTGTGGCTGGGAGGGGTGTGGAGGGTGGGAGTGTGGCTGGGAGGGGTGTGGAGGGTGGGGAGTGTGGCTGGGAGGGGTGTGGGAGTGTGGCTGGGAGTGTGGCTGGGAGGGGTGGGGAGTGTGGCTGGGAGGGGTGTGTGGGAGGGTGGGGTGAGGGAGGTGGAGGGAGGGGCTGTGGGCTGGGAGGGGTGGGGAGTGTGGCTGGGAGGGGTGTGGAGTGTGGCTGGGAGGGGTGGGGAGTGTGGCTGGGAGGGGTGTGGAGGGTGAGGAGTGTGGCTGGGAGGGGTGTGGAGGGTGGGGAGTGTGGCTGGGAGGGGTGTGGAGGGTGAGGAGTGTGGCTGGGAGAGGTGTGGAGGGTGGGGAGTGTGGCTGGGAGGGGTGTGGAGTGTGGCTGGGAGGGGTGTGGAGGGTGGGGAGTGTGGCTGGGAGGGGTGTGGAGGGTGGGGAGTGTGGCTGGGAGGGGTGGGGAGTGTGGAGGGTGTGGAGGGTGGGGAGTGTGGCTGGGAGGGGTGTGGAGGGTGAGGAGTGTGTCTGGGAGGGGTGTGGAGGGTGGGGAGTGTGGCTGGGAGGGGTGTGGAGGGTGGAGAGTGTGGCTGGGAGGGGTGTGGAGTGTGGCTGGGAGGGGTGTGGAGGGGGGGGAGTGTGGCTGGGAGGGGTGTGGAGGGTGAGGAGTGTGGCTGGGGAGGGTGTGGAGTGTGGCTGGGAGGGGTGTGGAGGGTGGGGAGTGTGGCTGGGAGGGGTGTGGAGGGTGGGGAGTGTGGCTGGGAGAGGTGTGGAGGGTGGGGAGTGTGGCTGGGAGGGGTGTGGAGGGTGGGGAGTGTGGCTGGGAGGGGTGTGGAGGGTGGGGAGTGTGGCTGGGAGGGGTGGGGAGTGTGGGGAGTGTGGCTGGGAGGGTGTGGAGGGTGGGGAGTGTGGCTGGGAGGGGTGTGGAGTGTGGCTGGGAGGGGTGTGGAGGGTGAGGAGTGTGGCTGGGAGGGGTGTGGAAGGTGGGGAGTGTGGCTGGGAGGGGTGGGGAGTGTGGCTGGGAGGGGTGTGGAGGGTGGGGAGTGTGGCTGGGAGGGGTGTGGAGGGTGAGGAGTGTGGCTGGGAGGGGTGTGGAAGGTGGGGAGTGTGGCTGGGAGGGGTGGGGAGTGGGCTGGGAGGGGTATGGAGGGTGAGGAGTCAGCGTGTTACATTCTAATGCTATACAGTCTGCTCAGCCTTTCGTTACCTATCCGGTCTCATTCACCAGTTACAACCCCGCTCCTTTGCAGGATAAGTCCACTACGGGCTCGCCATAGACCGTGCTACTTGCAATTTGTTGTTCCCAGTAGCTGATTGTAAAACAACAACAACGATCTCATTCTTTCTATCAGAAATCCGTTAGGGATGTTTTCCTCCTGGGAACCCGAGTTGATAGAGGGATGTGATGCTGTGGTGGAATAGTGGAGGCTGTGGCATAGTGGAGTTGATGGAGGAGGAAGGTGAGGGTAGTAGGGGAGCGTGGTGTGGAGGAGAGGGCTAGGAGGGAGGAAGAGGTCCCCTGGGAGTGTGTGTGTGTGTGGGGGGGGGGGGGGGAGGGGTCACCTAGTGGGTCTAATGCTCACGTTACACCTGGCCGCCGCCGCCGCTAGCCACTCTTCCTGACCTACTTGCCGCCCTCCTAACTACTCCACTCCTGCCTATTCCTCCAATATTGGTGTAGATAGATAATTACCGTACCAACCAGATATACAATACTGTCGTGGGTTTGAGACGTGTATATGTACAAATCTGTTATCCATAACTGGTGTGGCAGCGAGTCACTGTTGTCTCGCCTTGAGTACTGGTCGATGGTCACTTCCTCATTCAGAGCGGGAGAGAGATGGCTGAAATAGAGGGAACACAGAGAACATATACGCTACGCATAGACACGATAAAGCACCGAAACTATTGGAATGTCTCAAAACTCTCAAAATGTACTTTTTATGAAGAAGACGAGAGAGGTATCAAATAATATATACAATGAAGACATTGAAGGGCAAGGTCCCAAATTTGCACAATAAACTAACAACATACTGGAGTGAACGCTATGGAAGGAAATGCAGAATAGAGCCAGTGAAGAGTAGAGGTGCTTGGCATAGGCACAATCAGAGAACACTGTTTGAACATACAATGAGTTGACCAGACTCATGTTTCGACGACGACCTTTCGATTGTGAAGACAATCGATTTGAGAATGGTCCAGGACGGACCGAAACGTCGTCGTCCCTTCACCTTCTAGTGTGTGGTCTGGTCAACTTACTTTAGCCACGTTATTGTGACTCATCGCCTGCATACAGTGAGCTCCACCGTTGTTCAGTATCCTCCCTGCATTATCCTCCGGCAAAAAGAAATATTACCAGAACAAAAGTGGACGTCTTCAAGAAAAAACTGGGCAATTTTCTGCATCACGTGCTGAACCAACCGGTCTGTTTGTTGGGGGTTCTGAGTTCTTCTACTCCCCAAGCCCGTCCTGAGGTCTGATGGATATGTGGTCCAGCGGTCAGCCCCGAGCACCAGCCTGTTGGACTAAGGTCTCACAAGTAAAGCCTGGCCCCGGGCCGGGTTTGGGGAGTAGAAGAACTCATAGAACCTCATCCAGGTACAATCCAGGTATTATTGATTATGGTATTATATATTAATCATGATAAATCGGGCATTTTGTATAAAATGAACGGTTTCAGAGACAATAACGAGAACAGTGTAAGTAAATATAGGCTTGTAACAGTTGTATTTGGCATACACAAGTTACAAGCATTCATTGTATGCCTTTATTCAGTTGGATGATGTTGGTGGTGGGTAGACGATGCGGGTGTTGGTGCTGAGGGCGGAGAGATGGAGAGTGTGGGTGGTACAGGGAAGTGTAGATGGCGTGGAGATGGAGTATGTAGATGGCGTGGAGATGGTGTGAATGGTGAGGAGATAGCAGTGGGGGGGGGGGGGGGGGGGGGAAGATGGCGTGGATGGGGTGAGATAGCGTGGGCGGCAGGGAGAGGCTGGCCCAGCTGTCCCTACTAATGGGCTTGGGTGGTGGCGTCCACATGGCAGTCCCTCCCGGCTTCTGCTTCACTACCTCGTCCACAATGCAAGCTGAGTTGGTAGCAATACTAGTGAAATTGAAACTGAAATTTAAATAAGTTTATTGAGGTAAAATACACACAAAGGGATGAGGTAGCTCAAGCTATTCTCACCCTGTTCAGTACATCGTGTTAATACATACATACACACATCACAAACAATAAACATATTACCAAACATTCTGAGAGATTAACATATACATTTCCTCTTTTACACAAGTAGTATAGCAATACTAGTAGCACTCGAAATTATTGACAACACTGAAGTAGTCTGCTTAATTATTTCCGACTCCCTTTCCTCACTACTAGCAATAAATAGTTTGCAGTCAAGTAATAACGTGCTTGTCTCAAACCAGACATAGATATATAAGCATACTTAGCAAGAGGGTAAATATAAAAATGTTGTGCATTGCTTCCCACATTAGCCTGCAGGAACATGATAAAGTTAACGCCCTTGCTAAGGTTGCAGTAAATAAAGACAGTATTGAATGGAATCTTGAGTTATCAAATAAGTCCCTTAAAAGTGTCATTAGACGAGAACTCCTGGATGAATTTGAAGAAAGTAGAACAGTGCAAACTGGAGCTAGCAGGTCCATTGTTCATCACAATGAAATATGTGAAGTAAAACATGTGTATGGGGCAAGTAACACAGTCAGTAGACTAACAGATGTTGTCACAGCTCGAATAAGACTTGGCTACAGGTATCTCTGGCAATTGGACTTGTACAGGGATCTAGATGAAGTAAAGTGTAAAGTGTGTGGACAAAGACAGGGATACACTCGAACACTATAGCTTGGATTGTAGTAAAATTGAGCCATTTAGAGCTAAATCTAAACTCACGTTGTATGATAGGCAACCTATCTTATTACTAAAGATAAAATACCTGAAATCCTTGCACTGTATCCATATTTCGCTCCCAGTAGATGAACGACATATGAGATTCAGAAACAAGTAGTGTATTGTGAAGACTAATAATAAACAGCAGCTCCCCTATGACTCTGTAATATCTCCATTGCTCAAACAATTATGTATTAGCGATAAGACCTACCATTAATGTATGACATACTGTAAATATATAGCTCTTGAAATAGAACAATCTCTGTAACTAGCCGACATTGTAATTATAAGGTGTGAAGGATAGATAAAATTGTTTATGTAATAATTTACGAAAAACTTGGGTAAATACTGGTTCGGCAACAGGGTTGTTGATTTGTGGAACCAATTACGCGTAACGTGGTGGAGGTGGGGTCCCTTGATAGTTTCAAACGTTGGTTGGACATGTATATGAGTGGGATTGGGTGGCTATAAATAGGAGCTGCCTCGTATGGGCCAATAGACCTTCTGCAGTTACCTTTATTCTTATAATCTCCGTTGAGGTCTGATAAAGACCCTTTGTGCCCTTTGTAATGATTTTTGCGCTACTGCTCACAGGATGAGTGTGAGGTGCACTGTAAACAAGACGTCTCCGGCGGCAACAATCAAAAAATCCCTCAAGCCAGCCCTCGGGCTGACTGCCAATGAGCGCATGGAGCGTTGGCGTGGGTCAGACCGGGTCATGACCTCCCCGGGTGATCCTGAAGGGTGCGTGGGGTCGGGGTCTGCCAGCCAGACGACCATGGCGGCGGCCCCCATCTTGCCCCCGGCCCGCCAGTCTACCGTGGAAAGCGGACGAGGTAGTGGCCCGGCTATCCTAGCTGTCCTCTCCCTGCCTGCCCCACCACTCCTGGCACTGGCAGTCGTCACCTGCCGCCACCCTCGTGCTGTTGTGACCTTGTGCCACTTACACTTCGACTTGTGTGGTTATCAAGTGATGGTGAAAGTGCCATGATTCCGGAGAATAAGTCACGGTAACGAAGCTGGTTAATAACATTAATCAACCCATAGGCCTGGCAAGAATTACCCAGTGTTATTGTTGTAATTCATCCGTGTTGGATTGAGTCTAATGGAAAAAGTGAGGTGATGGGGTCATCTTGCCTCATCAAGACGTGCACAGTGAAGAAAACCAAGGTGGGAGCATCTTTCCACCGCCTCCCGTGGAAATACCCAAGCCTCTTCCGGACCTTGCAACATGTGTTTGGGAATAGCAACGTTCGCGAGCTGACGCGCTGGTCCAGGATCTGCTCGCTCCACATAGCCCAGCTGGCCCCCCTGGCCGCCACCGATGACGTAGTGCGCCGGCTCATGGAGTACTACGCCTGGAACGCTCGCAGCTACAAGAGAATATTTGAACTGTCCAAGCTTGAGGAAGCCCAAGACGTTAAGGGGTGTGTGGACGAAGCCCTGCAGTTCCTGGAGGGTGAGCAGGTCCTGGATAATGGCAGCTGGTCTCTGGAAGACTTGGTCAAGAACGGAGTGTTTGTGTTGAGGAACTGTGATGGTGTGAAGGGCGAGGCTTCGTGTGGAGACTGGCAGAGTGTGGCCAGCAACAAGAGCGAGTCGTCGCAACCCTCAGAGGAGGAGGAGGTTGGGGCGCCGGGTCTGGTAGTCAGCAGGGCGCACACTGCCCAGGTCGAGTCAGGTCACTACGTGGGCCAGTACCTCCTCCAGTTACTAGCGGGGACTCTCGCCCACACACGACAAGGTATGTTCGTCTGCCAGGCCTGTACGGTACACCAGAAGCAGCCATAGCCTGTGCAGGCGTTATCATGACGTCACGGTGACGTCATAATGTTAACAATGTGACGTATATATAGCGAGCAGGCGGAGTCTGACGTCACGGTGACGTCAAACTCCGCCTGCACGCTATATATAAAACAACATTTGATCTCCTATTTTCGTTTGGTTGAATTAGACTAGTTTAAAGGTATCCTATACAAAGTGTTAAAGGGCGCAAATCACTAATTAAACATCACTTTAATATTTTAATTTAATTAGTTATTTTATTAGGCAAGTGATTGAATTTTGTGTTAAAATTTGTTCTTAAATGTTTTTTTTTATTTAGCGTGTGCGTGAAATATCATATGCATAAATGTCTTAATAAAAAAATACTTTAAAGGGACTATTAGTTTACATGCTTCAGGTGTTGATGAAGTTAGTGACTTAGGATACCAAGCCTTGCACCTCAAAATAAAGCTAGCCATGTTCCACCTAGCGTTAAACAAGTGGAACTTGTTTAACTTGTACAGTGATTGAATTATTAAATCCATATTAAACTGTAGGCTGCAACAGGACATTATGGCATCGGGTCGTGATGAAAAGAAACTAGTTCAGACAATGTTGCCTTTTTCTTGGTATGACAGGCATATTGTCATATGACAAGATATGACAACATCTTGTCTTATGACAAGATGTTGTCATATCAAACAAAATTCGATGATTATTATTCTAGACTCCCACCTGTGACGACCATTGATTGCTTAACCATCTAAAATTGTGGTAGGTTACTTTTGATCACGAAGCTAACATTTTTTTTATGTAAACAGTCTACATCCGACCAATATCTTGCTTATTATTCAAGCTACCTCCTTTACACGAGATCAGACTGATTTTACATAGTAACCCATTATATAAATATGTAGATGAGGCATTAACAATGGCCGATTTTTGTTGACCAGACCACACACTAGAAGGTGAAGGGACGATGCCGTTTCGGTCCGTCCTGGACCATTCTCAAGTCGATTGGACCATTCACAATCGACTTGAGAATGATCCAGGACGGACCGAAACGTCGTCGTCCCTTCACCTTCTAGTGTGTGGTCTGGTCAACATACTTTAGCCACGTTATTGTGACTCATCGCCTGCAATGACCGATTCTTAATATATATTAAATTAATAGTGGGGTAAGTCCACCAGGTTGATGGTAGCCTAAAAGGCAAACTACCCTTGGCTTCACTTGGATCACGTGGTGGTCGTTTGGTTCGTATGCCAATGATAATTTATTGCTGGGAAGTATTGCTCAAGTGTGTTGGACACATCAGTTTACATTTTCAATCGCTTCTAGTCATACATTCCGGAGTCATACACGTTCGCAGGCTGATTTAAGGGCAGCCTAAGGTGTTCAAGGGCAGACATGTTCGTAGGTGTTCCGTGTGAATGATCGCCCATTTGTTTCTAGAACAGAGCGTTGAACATTTCAGAACAGAGTCGAAGAACAGAGTCGTAGAACAGAGCGTAGAACATTTCAGAACAGAGTCGTAGAACAGAGCGTAGAACGTTTGGGGGTGTCTTGTCTTCCTGTCCTCTTCTTATCTTTTGTATTATATACATGTGTGTATATGTATGTATGTTTGTATTTTAAGCGTCCACAATTCCTGTTTGTGAAGAAAAAACTCGGTGTTTACAAGTGTTATGTAGATTTCAATCAGCAAGGTTCACAGCAGGGTACATCCATATCTTTTCCTGGACAAAATCATGCTCTAGACACGTAATTACTTATGCAGGCGATGTCACAATAACGTGACTGAAGTAGTTTGACCAGACCACACACTAGAAGGTGAAGGGACGACGACGTTTCGGTCCGTCCTGGACCATTGTCAAGTCGATGTAATTACTTATTTACCTGGAGTTTACCAGGAGAGGGTTTCGAGAGTTCTGCTCCCTGAGCGTTATTTGTGGGTTGACTACAGTCCTGTGAAAAATGGTTGAGAGGTGTTTACTACTGTACACTTCTCAACCATTTTTAGGTTCTGTTGACGATTATCTGTAATTGAAGTATTTTTGATTATCAGCATTTACAGCGCTGTGATTCGAACAGAGGTCATCAGCGAATCACTTGAGAAATGTTGGAACATCAGTTGAGAGTCGTGTGTAAAGTGTTTTCATTCATAAACAGGGGGTTTGGCGGGTAGATTAACGAGCCTTTGTCCTTTGTTTATAAGGACGGGCTGAATCAAGTCATCAAACCCATTCTTTATGAATTAAAGCCACGTAGTTTAATATTGAATTTAAAAATATTACATTAGTGATAATGTTACAAGAGAAGTGAACAAATCCTTCAGTACAGTATAGTGTACTACAGTATAGTGTAGTGTACTGTTACAAGAGAAGTCGTCTAATTACATTATTGTGACGTTATTGACACGGTCTCTTACTCTTGGACTTGTTTACAGTCAATTATAGTCACGTGAGTCTGTGAATCATCTAATAAAATCTGCAGACTTTTATATTTGAACATTTAGGTATACGTGTGTGCAGCGACCTTGTACTGCATGAATGTGTTACATTGTGTACTTCATAGTGGCGCTAAACAATCCCCCCATCTGGCAGGGGGTGGTGGGGGTGTGTGTACTTCATAGTGGCGCTAAACAATCCCCCCATCTGGCAGGGGGTGGTGGGGGTGTGGAGTAACTGTAACTGACTCACCACAGACGTCACTTGGCTTTATAGAGACTTGTAGGCCCTTCTTGAATCACTTTTGATATAAAAAGACTTTATTGATATATGTACCGTGTAAAAGAAAAAAAGAATATTGTATAGGTAGCTTCACAAAATTGTTACTACCTAAGCTAAATGAACTATGTGCCTCAGTTCCTGAACCCAATATGTGCCTCTGTAATCCTTCCCACCACCATGATGGGTATGGGGTGTATAATAAGTGACTCGCAGGACGGTTAGTCACACAGGGAGTATGTGATCAGTAGTCTACGCTGGCAAATTTACGGTTCAATCTTTCAGACGTTAAGCACCCGTGTACGGGTTTTAGGCCTAGTTACCGCGCTGCGTCTCGTAACCATTAAGGTATACGTGTTGACGTACGTGTGGAGCAGGGGTTGATACTACCCCGGGGGCTCTGTGGGCAGTTCCTGCAGGCGTGGGCAGTTCCCAGTGTGGCAAGCCCTCCCCGGGCCCCACCCAAGCCCTCCCCGGGCCCCACACAAGCCCTCCCCGGGCTTCACACGGTTCACTCTCCCCGCAGTAAGCCGCCGTCCCACCCACCTGCCTTGACTTCGTCACCCCAAGCTTGAGCTCACACCCTAAAATAACACCACACGGCACACCCTGCATTGTCTCGTGTCTTCCGTTACTATAATTAGCGGTCACATCGTGAACTGATCGCCTCGCCATATGTCCTTGGAAATGCTAAACTGAACATGCCGTTGTTCCGTCTGCCCTCACCTGTGTCACGGTGGTGTTGGTAGCAAGGGTGCGCTACCCTCATTTGGGCCGAAAGTGACGCCACAAGGCCTTGCACCTGGTTACCCGATTGATTGGTTGTTGAAGATTAAGGTGGCACAAGTAGCCCATATGTCTACCTATTGAGTTGTTCGTATCTAGAAGTCTAGACAACTGCTGTATTCGGTATAAAATCTGTCAATTCGCGATATATGGAAATTCGTAACACTACTTTAATTTTTATCAGAGAAATGCAATCTACTGTATACTCGATAAGGCATGAGGTGGGGGTGTGTGTATTGTCACATCACCCTCGGTAATAGCCCAAGTGTTCTCACAAGTACTGGGAAATGCCACGAAGTTGACTAATATTGGGATATTCTAGGAGGGGAGCCATCGTGAACAACGCATTGGCCAGTAATGTCAGGCGGGCCACGTATAGCCGGGCCTTCCTCCCTGAGTCAAAGCCCCCGGGCGCGGGTGACCTTGAACTATTATCCTGGCCTGGTAGTTAGTTCCCTGAGTTTCCGTCAAGTGAGTCGGAGTGACAGGACGTGTGGGTGGCGGAGCTGTCTAGCTCTCCTCACGTGGCTTGGCCGACCCTGCTACTGGTAGATATTATATTGTTGTTGTTGAAGATTAAGCCACCACAAGGTGGCACGGGCATGAATAGCCCGTAAAGGTGGTTGACGTTTGGAGTAAATGTGATCTTTGGTCGTGTAACATCTTAAGCGTCCGACTCTGTTACATACTAGTGTTTACCTTCAAGTAACACCACTCTGCAGAGGTACGGCTTTCATAGAGATTCTTATTGTTGTTTTAGATTCAGCTACTGGGAACAAGTTGCAAGTAGCACGGGGTATGGCGAGCCCGTAGTGGCAAAGGAGCGGGGCTGTAACTGTCCGTCGTGGAAATTGTGGTCGCGTCTTTTAATACTCTCTCGTCTACCCTTGCAGGTGTGAGAGTCGCTTGGCAAGGAAATATATATATATCTACTGCACTGACTGTCGCGAAGACTTTAAAGTGTTTAACCCTGTCGTAGCTCAGTCGATTAAGGCAGTGTCTGGGATACTCCCGGACGCAGGTTCGAATCCTCGTCACGGCCCTTGTGGATTTGTTCACTTTAAAGTGTCATAATTTTAGTATGACTGTACATTGGTTATTATCCCTCATTGAAGATATTTTCTTCTATCGCTCTGTAATATAAGGCACACATGGATCGCATACAATTAAAAATATATATACATGTTTATTTAATATTCATATAATTTGTGTATATATACTGTATAATTTATATAGACCTATAGTAACTTCATTCCCCAAAATATTCTTTATTTACAAAGTAGTGAGAATTGAATGGTGACACTTTAATTGAAACTAGTTGTTTACAGTTGATTTACTAAATAATAGATATTTTAGTATATTACTAATAACTTCTTTTTGATCGACAGGCGACCGCAGTATGATCCCGGATGACTCTGCGGCCGGAGCCATGGACGCAGCCAGGGATCCGGATGTGTGCATGGACGAGGATGGCAAGTCGAAGAAAACGGGATGCGGGGAGGAGCAAGACATTAACGATAACCATACTAAACTGGCTGCTCAGGGAAACACAAGTGGCGAGGCTAATAATGTGTTAACAAATGGGGAAGTACAAACTAAAGAAAGTGGTAATAAAGAGTCGGTTGACGAACCAAGTCGAACAAATGAATGTGAGGAAGACAGGGACAATAAAATGGAAATGGAAGTGGAAGAAACAGAGGAGCCTCAAGTGGATATTGAGGGGAGTGAAGATGAAAAAGACTCTAGTGAGGATGATGAGGATAAATTAGTGATTAGTGAGGGGAATGAAAGGGGGACGGAAGAATCGGCAGATGAAAACTCTAAAGAAGGTAAGTTTTATTTGTTCTGTTCAGCCACAGGATACATTGCACTGTCCAATAATTTAGCCTGTAGGAAGGGCGTGATGAAAGGGGCCAAATACAGCTGCAGTTTCTAGAGAATTGTTCGGGATTATACAGTAACATATAATGAAATGAATACTTGAGGTTATCTTGAGATTTCGGGGCTTTTAGTGTCCCCGCGGCCCGGTCCTCGACCAGGCCTCCACCCCCCAGGAAGCAGCCCGTGACAGCTGACTAACACCCAGGTACCTATTTTACTGCTAGGTAACAGGGGCATAGGGTGAAAGAAACTTTGCTCATTGTTTCTCGCTGGCGCCCGGGATCGAACCCGGGACCACAGGATCACAAGTCCAGTGTGCTGTCTGCTCGGCCGACCGGCTCCTTTTACTCTTGACTTTACTTCACTTCATTGGAAATTTTCGTTGTGGTTGATTATACTACAACATGAGGAATGAAGCCATCTTGCACTGAGATGACTGATGTGTTGTTAAGAGTAGAATAAATATATTTAATTAATTAAACCAACTTGTCATCCCAGCACCAAGATATTGATAAATCACACTTACTTTCTTCACTTGGAAAAAAAACCACCTGTTTGATTTAGAAATTGATTAATCTAATTAGCATAACCACATATAATAGTCTATTAGCCTGAGAAAAAATATAAAGATCACAGCATTGCTTGTACTATTTTAATAACATTATGTTGTGGCCAAATGGTGCATAGTGCCCCATGGAGCTGTATTTCAGTTGTGTTACGAGCAGTTAACGTTTGATTAAGTGATGCACTTTCTTTGGTGTTGCTTGCTCCCCTATAATTGTGTTGCTTATGTTAAAAAATACTGGACATTATATTTATATAATAGCATTCATATATGGAATGTAAATTTAAGTAAATCAATTAAAAAAAAAAAAGAGAATGTAATCCAAAAAATAAAAGTATTTAAATTGACGAATTAAGATAATCTAATGGTTGCTATTATGTTCAGTGTGCATACAATGCTGACCCCATGGAGTACTGTGGCATACCTGGAGAGGGTTTTGGGAGTTCTCTACTTCTCGAGCTCGGCCTGAGGCCAGGCTCGACAAATGTTAACACAAGCCCATTTGAGCAGTGCACTACTGTATTTGAATTTAGGATTAATGTTGCCTAACCTGCCCAAAATGCTATGCATGCTAGTGGCTTTACACGAATGTAAAAACATTTAATGCTATGTACTCTCCTAAACCCAATGTACCTTCTTGTATATAAATAAATAAACTTGCATATGTGGCCTCTAAGCAGAGCATAAATACTTAAATATAATCCCATATAGCTTGGTATTACTTAATATTATTTGCAGGGTGCCAGATGAACCATTATGTATCAGTCACTATCATCATGGTGCTACATGATTCCATGCCAAATAATTACCAAAAGAGCAGACTTTTTCATCCTAACCAATAATTTACATATGCAGAATTTTAGCATTTAGTGATGTACGATATTCATAGAGCAGAGTTGCCACTGTGAACAAATAAAGTTTTTGCTTGAAAGTTCAGCCAAAAATGTCATAACTGTGAGGTAGCACCTTCATGTTATGCTTGTTTTGAAGCTAAGGAAGCATTGTTTTCATTAAAAATAGTTTACCTTAAATACTGAATTTCTTAAATTTAAAGATCATTTAACATGAACCTTTGCCCTTGAATATAAAAAAAAGGTGTATGTATCTAATATTTTTTTGGGGAAAGAAAATGATACCAAATGCATTCTCGCTTTGGTATAAGTTTAATTTTGGGATGGTTCTGGAAATAGGAATAAAGTATCATGAAAGTAGCATACCACACATTCAATGAAATACCATAGCAGTGAACCAAATCAAATTTTCAGTTTTATGGAAAATAATTGAAATTTAAATGTTTATTGAGGTAAAATACATACAAAGGGATGAGGTAGCTCAAGCTATTCTCACCCCGTTCAGTACAACGTGTTCATACATATATAGACACATCACAAACAACAAACGCATTGCCGAACATTCTGAGAGATAAATGGAAAATAATGAACTACATAACCCAGTACAACATGGATTTGGAGCAGGACGATCCTGTCTGTCAGTTACTCAACCACTACGACAAAATCACAGAAGCCTTAGAAGAAAAACAAAATGCAGATGTATACAGACATTTGTGATGGTTATGGTATTGCAGCTATACTGAACCATGGTGGTATAGCTCTCCATCACACAAATAAACAAAAATGCTGCTATTGGCCCCTGCAGTGTTTAAGTCGCAGGTGGAAACAAATGAAATTAAGTAAATAATTAAAACAATTTACTGTAATATTAATGAACAAAAATGGCACCTGAGAACACTTGACTGTTATTATAGAACAAATGAGTAAATGATAGTTTGAATCTAATACAAGCGTATACTGATGTGCTGAAGACAACTACCTTACCACCACATCATCCAGCACACGACGTAGGCTGAGGGCAGATGGCGTTGCAGGAGGCTAAGGTGATCCAAGAGCACTGAGGGACTGGCTCTCTAAGGGGGGAGTGCCCTTGTATAGTCCGGCGGTGATAGCGTCACAGCCAGTGTCAATGCAAGGTGGTAACAAGCGCCACTAGCGAACTGCTAGTTTGTGGCTAGCGGCATCTTTGTGTTGAGGTGCCCCACTGCTAATTGAAGGTGGCTAACTGCTTGTTTGTGATGGCAAACTACCGGTTAGCGGAGGCATCCTGCTTGCCGCCAAGTCGTACCAGGCTGTGCCAGGCCCTAGGGGGTACAGAGAGGTGGCAGAACTGATGACTCATCTTGGCTGGTGTAGAGGTGGACTTCCATTGCAGAGGCATTGAGGGTGAGTAGGAAAGCAGTTCCTCTGCTATGCAGGAGATTCATGCATAGCAGAGATATTGCAAAGACCTTTGACAAATGTAACCATGGAGTGGTAGCCCATAAAATGGGAACAATAGGAATAACAGGTAAAGTGGGGCATTGGATTTTCAACTTTGTCAAACGGAATGCAGTGTGTGACGGTCATCAAATAAGATCAAGCCAAAGTGCAATGAAAAGCTCTGTAACCCTGGGCACAGTACTTGCACTGCTGCTATTTCTCATTCTTATTTTGGATATACAGTACAGTAGACAAAAATTAAGTACAAGTCACAGCTTTGTGTCATCTTTTGCAGATGATATTAAAATCAGCATGACAATTTTTGCTGTAGAAAACACTGAAAAACAAAAGCCGATATTAATAAAGTCTTTGATTGGGCAACTGAAAATAACATGTTTAACATTGATAAGTTCCAGGTACTTAGGTATGCTGGAAACTAGGAACTTAAATAAACACAGGGTACAGGACACAGACCTACTCATAGAAGGAAAACAACATGTAAAATATCTGGGAATTACGATGTCTGACGAGCGTACATTTAGTGAACATAACCAAGCAAATATAGTGGCGGCCAGGAAAATGATTAGATGGATTATGAATGTTCAAATCCAGAGATCCCACAGCAATATAATATTATTATATTACTGGTGATGTCCCGTCTTGAGTACTGCTCGGTACTCACTTCCCCTTTCAGAGCAGGAGAGATCTTTGAATTAGAGGGAATACAGAGAACATACACAGTACAGCACGCACAGAAACGATAAAATATCAGAATTATTGGGACCATCTCAAAGCTTTCAAAATGCATACTCTGGAAAGGATGAGAAAGGTATCAAATATATACAGTACAGTACATGGAAGGTACTGGAGGACCATGTCCCAAATTTTCACTGTAGAATGTATACACTGAAGCGAAAGAAATGCAAGGAAATGCAGAATAGAACCTCTGAAGGCTTCAAAGAAAAGTTTCAGAATGACTGCTTGCTCATGGGACTGCACTGATGGCCTAAATCACCATCTCCACTCTCATCTGTGATAACAGATGCTGCCATTATTGATTCATTCATATTTATTGCAAAAAAATTCTGCCTACATTCTTGAGTCAGGTTACTTCACACCTTGCAAGTATACCCACTCTCCTCAATGACAGACATGCCACTGCACTTCTAGAAGGCTTAATTAGAAATTCCATTTAATCTATATTTCACTGCCGTCTCATTAATACAGATACAGTACTGGCATTCCCAAAGGATTAACAGTAGGACCAACACTCTAGTCCTTCTATAAAACCCACATTGTATTCAAAGTTCTGGGTCGTTTCACAAAAGTTCCTTTGTCCCCACGTGTAGCTTCAGAGACAAAAGAAGGAAAATTGCATTATTGTCTCTCTCTGAAATCTTACGTTAGAGCCTGAACTCTTTAACACACAAAATTTCTAGAGTACTGTATGAATATTGTCCTCCTGTGTAGTGGTGCCTGGTTCCTCTTAATGCTATATGAGTGGAGGATATTATGAAAGGGTGAGTGTATCTCTGAATGTCTTTAATAATCAGTTTCTTATAAATATATTTCCATTTTTTCCAGGCAAGGCAAGTGACTTATCAACCCATAAACATAGAAGACAGAGTAATAGTGTTTATGATTTTGTCTTTTCTCCACAGAAGCCCCAATAGTATCACAGAAAAGTACAAGTAGATCACCAACTCCAAAGGGAAGTGAAAAGCGACCTGCGGAAGATGAGGCAGCTCCTGAAATTGCAACAAAGAGACCAAGGCCCTTGGAGGATATGATATCTCTTGAATCTCTAACCTCGGTTTCACAGGTTGAGGGTTCTCTTGGGCAAGTGAAGCGGGATCTTGAGGTAGGGAAAAAAGTTTGTTGTATTAGTTTTAGCAAAGTGCAGTGAACATTTGATTTTCAATTTTTGTGGCAGGTATTACTGTATAGTGTATGTAGTCACAGAGTACAGAATTCTAAATTTATTGAATGCATTACTGTACTTTGCTGTGGTAAATGCTTTGGTAGTTTAAGTTGCTTTTTCATTAACCTAATACATTTTTGTGAGAAATTAATGTACACTTTCTATAGTTTGTAGCATACTGTATCATTATATTTAAAAGTACCTTTCCTCATATTTCTTGCATTTTCAGGCATTAGAATTCTTGATAAAGCAGAAAGAGGAAGAATGGAATGCCCTTCTTAGATTACAGAAACGTAAGGAAGAGCTGTATATTCGATTGGCAAGAAGAAGGCATGTTCTCCTTATGAAGAATGGCCAAGGTGATATAGAGGGAGAGGGGATTAAGGTGGGGGAGGAAACCAGTGAAGAAGGTCGCAGTAACCTTATGTTTCTACCTCAAGGAGGGTATTCCTCCTTGGGTGGCCCACAGTTACCACTGATGATGATGAGTCAGCTAATAGCAGGTTCTGCCTCGCCACAAGCTCTTCAGGTAGATACAAAAATTGTTTTTGTGAAACGACACACTGTTCAAGCTTTTACTGTAGACATCGTGCTCATGTGAAACATTGTTTGCAATGTCTTTAATGCTAGTACTTTATAGGCTTTACCTTGCTGTGTTTTCACTTCTCTGTTGGCAGTACTTTCTCTGTTTAAAGCATTTGGTCCTATGTAGAACCTAATGTTCAATTTACTGATAACAGATACTAAACAATTTTTTAAAGAGTTTGTCTAAAGTTCTGTTCATTTCATTTCTCTTTATTTCAAGTCTTCTTTATTTAATTTGAGTTGTCACCTTTTCAAGTGACTTTACAATGAAATAAAATGTCATGATGGGAATGCTTAAACAGTATTATACTCTATTACAGTCATTTAAGCTTTGTATCAACTTTAGATATTGATGACATACTGTAAGATAACAAATTATGGTACTGTACTGTAATAAATAATTTAGCAGAATCTATTCTTGCAATCAACATCATCCCATTTCCTGCTCCTGCTTTCCTGCTCCCATGTGGCATGCAAGCATTTGCATGGAAAAGATATGACTGCATTAATGGAAAAGATGGTTAATGGTATTTCAAAAGACACCATCAATTTCCCATATCCACCACACTCAAAGCATCTTTGAGAACCAGCTCCACTACATTCCATCAAATCGTTCACATTAAATGATGAATTCTTTCTTACTTAATACTATTAGAGTAGATCAGTAAAGCTGTTTTGATCATTTCTGAAATCAAAAGTACTGTTGCATGCTAACTCATAAATCACTCCCTTTGTATGTTTTCCAGATGTTACCACAAGTTGTGACCACAAAAGACAACAGCCAAGGAGAGAGTGGTGGCAATAGCAACAGCAATATCAGTGTAATAGATATTCATACAAGTAGCAACAAACCTGGTAGTGAAACTCCCAAAGTGTCCATGACTCCAGAAGCTCACAGCAAACTCAGTAAGCAGCTAAGCACTGGCTTGGCCTCTATGAAACCTATACTTCCCAAGCCAGCCGGGGGTATGAGTGCAATGTCTGGTCTCCCTACATCCCTGTCATTCACAGCCACTGGCCATGGCCCTCAAGGCCCCACAGTCAATGTCCAACATTTAATAGCAGCTCATCGAAAGGAAAACCCAAATACTCCACCCATCAGGTAATAGCAGTTAATAGGGTTGTCCAAAAAAAAAAAAAGCGTACAAGATAAATGATTTGTAGTACTGTAGTGTGTGTTGAGTATGTGATAGAACAGAAGCTCTGCGGTGGTGTGCAAAGACTTGGATGTGTAGAGATGTTGTATGAACTGTCTTGTGAGAAATTGTAGCACAATTTATAAATGGCCATTAATTTTTGTTAGAAATATTAAAATCCCCTCTGGATTATTGTTTGTGTGAATGCTTCACATAGCTTGTTTTGGTTTTGTGACTGAATTTTCTCATTGTCTTGGAGAAGTAAAAATGAGTGCTTAGCTTGTTTTGCCAGATTAATATTTGTTAGGGTCTTCTGACTAATGTTATGACAAATATTAATTTTGGCATGATTTTTTTTTTACCTTATCACCTTGCTCGCTGCTGCTTGTATTTGTTTTCACAATACTTACTGCTTTGAGAGTAGTTTTAATAGGCCTATCTTGAATGTGAATTTCAGTCATGGGATAGGATATATATAATGACTTAAGATGACACTTGAGAAATGAGAAAAAAAAAGATAACTGAGCAGTACATTAACACTGAAGTTTCTTTAAAAGGTCATCATATGGTAGATGTTTCTCTTTCTCTCTCTCTTTCTGAATCTTTGTTTCAGCTTTCTCAGTCTCTATATCTCCTGTCTCTCTCCCTCTGATTCTGCTTTCTCTTTGTCTCTACTTTGTCTGTATCTCTATATCTCTGTGTCTCTGTGTCTTTCTCTGTGGTTCTCTCTCTCTCTCTGTCTCTTCATTGATACAGGTAAGATAGAAGATGCAGCCACACATGGCTGCATCAGCAGCAGCAGCAGTACTAGTAGTGTTGGTGACCTTTGCACATGAGAAGGTGAGGTGATGTGATATAAATGGGGAAAATGTAATAATTAGAGTAGTTGAAGTAAGCACTCTGAGAAGTACAGAAATATGTTGGGTGCAAAAGATTTTAAATTGCAAGAGTGCACACTGAGATGGTTTGGACATGTTGAATGGACATGTTAACAGGCTGATGAGAAGAGTACTGTACGTTTATTTGAATATCTGGGTAATTTGCTAATTTGAGGAGAGGAAAGTTGGGAAGAACAATGGACAGATGTGGGTGTGTAGGGAAGTGCTTGTATGTGTTTGGGGAATGTGCATGTGTGTGTGTGTGGGGGTGGGGTGGGGGGTGGGGGTATGTGTGGGGGGGGTCAGGAACTAACACAAGGACTCCTGACCTTGTTGTGTGTGGGCAACACATGAGATGTGGTAATGGACAAGGTTGGGTGCTATGGATTGTATGGGTGTTGACATAGTAATACTGTATATGGCATTTCATGAGTAGGACTGTAGACCTGGTCTTGTGAAGTAGTGGGCCACTGCTGGGAATGAGTGGTGTGGAGTTCATGCAGTATACAGTAGTATGTATGATATATGGGTAATTTATATTTTTTAGTATTTAAAGCCTTCTTTCACTGTATTGCTCCCCTTTTCTGGGAGTGGCCTCTCAAATGTTCCCTGTGCCAAGCACTGGTACTTATCATGCCTCAGGAAGGTGCACGTGGTCTGGGAGAGCTACCCTTGCATACTGGGTGCCAGAAATGCCTCTCCAAGAGGCGAGAGGAGAGCTTGGTTCAGAGATCCTCCCAAAATTTAGAAGCCTTGCCAGATAGCATAAACACAACAAAACAAGCAACAGAAAATTCGGTGCCTTGAGATAACCAACCAACCGAGTGCTCAGCTTGAATACCCCCCATCATAAAGCCACCAGATGGCATCCCAGGTCAACTGGGACTACAATTAGCCTCCCCCATCCCCCCTCACCTGGTCACTGCATTAAAAGCATAATACCCCTGATGAGGCCCACTGTAACTTCATGGTGTTTCCATGCACCATGCAGTCATAGTAGTTGCTCCATTTCTGCCATTTCTACCTGAGGGTATCTAATTTTCTTCAAATAGTTGCTAGTTTTGTTGCACTTGTGCTTTCTGTTTTTTTATCTCAATATTGGGTTGATATCTGATCATCAAGCTTCCCCTCATCTCAGAGAGAAAGCCAAATTCTCTTTCTGGCTCCCTGTAGGCAAGTGTGGGCCTCAAAAGTGCCTAGTACATGGCAGCATCAATGCTGAGATCGGGAAGCTGCTGAGGGCCCACTTGAAAAGGGCATTTCATTACATTTAATGCTTGGCTTTTGTTCCTTGCTATTGCCTCCCAATTTTATGAGAGTGGGAAATTGGGTAATTATAGTAATGAGGATGTAATTTTTGATTCAGACAAGTGGAAATTTATTACCCACTTGTCCAATAGAGCATCTAAGCTCCAAAATCTAATGTAAAGCCTAGGAAAGGTGCATACATGCTTAAGCAACTAGTGTTTAAGTTACTTTATACACATGCTTAATTAAACTACTTTGTTCACATGCTTATGCTGTTTTGTACATATGCTTAAGCTACTACTGTTTGTGTATGCATTCTTAAATTTAAACATGTCTTAAAGGTCATATACAAGCATTTAAAGATTTTGTAGTAATACAACCTATAATGATTTGTCATATCTGAGAACAAATTTAATTCATCAGTAAATAGGTAAAAAATGCAATTTTATTGCTGTGGGTGAAAAGAGTAACATTTAAATTTGGCTGTCGTATTGCCTACAGCCCAACTGCTGCGTGTGACATCACTGTTGAGAACGCGTTTGTCAACAAGCCATTACAACACATCAGGTAACACACAACTTGATCGCAAATCTGCACAATGTGATGTGCTTAAAGGTTGTAGGCTGTCTTATCAGACAAGTTAGGAAGATAGTGTGGTTGTGTTTGTGTGTGGTTGTGTTTATAGTGTAGTTGCATGCATCGTGTGTTCCTGCATGTCATATGGTGGGTGTATGTGCAGTGTGTGTTGTGGTTTGGTTACACATGTCAGTGCTCGAGCACATCTTGTTTGTTTTCATGTGTAGTGTGGTTGCATAAGCAGTGTGATTGCATGTCGTATGTGGTTACATTTACGTGGATGTGACAAGTGGAAGTGTGTGTTGTACCCACCTATCATTGCTTACATGAATTAAGATATAGTTCATCGGTCCCCTCCTTGCAGTTAAAACCCAAAGCATTTAAATTCCTGAGGTTCTGATACTGTATTCTATTGTACTTTCTCCTAAAACTGTATATATAAAGGTGATGCACCACACCTGTTGTCAATATATTCCACTTCCTTACCAACCATGCTCCATATAGTACGGTACTTCCTTACCACCCACATTCATATTGTACGGTACAGTGGAAGATCGGTTTTCGAATGCCCTTCTTTTCAAACTTTTCGGTTCTCGAGCTCAATTTCTTTGAAAAATTTGACTCTGTATTTGAGGTTTGTCTCGGTGCTCAATTTTGTTGATACACTTATGGGCTGACCGAGCACATGGCACACTTCAGTTCACCAGTGTCTCCCTCCTAGTAACGAGCCCGCTTGAATTCTTTGTGAAGTATTTCGTTTTTTTTTTTTGTTTTTTTCTGAATATAAAAGTTCTTATTATATATCATGCCATGGGTTCCAAGAAAGTCAGTGGTAAAGTTCAACCTAAGAAAATAGTTGTGGGGATGACGATAGAGGAAAAAAAAAGAGATTCATAGTGAGACTGTGATGTCTTACTACAGACAAGTTAAAACATAGGGAAAACAAGTGTCTAGACAGATTCTTTGTAAGACAGACAAGCAGTGAGCCACAACCAGATCCTAGTGGTATGCCTGCAAAACATGTGAAAGAGTACCCCAGAAATGTCTTCACTGCCGTTATAATGGAAGGGGGGACCCCTTCCAAACACTAACACCTCTCCTTCTTCCCCCCCCCCCCCCCCTCCTCCTCACCATCTTCCATATGCCGACAAGAGTCCTCAATTAAGGTAATATATACTTGTACTGTACATACTATAGTATGTATAGTATATACATATATGTATATATGTTACATTACGTATTTCTTATGAGAAAATTCGTTTTAGTTTTCAAACCATCTCTGGGAACGAATTAAATTAAAAAACGAAGGTACCACTGTACTTCCTTAGCTCTGTGACTCATTTGTTTCCAACTTCCAGCAGTGTTTTTTGGTTCTGATTTTCTTCGTCCAGGAAAGGCAGTTCCTGTCCACTTCATTCTCTCTCTCTCAATACAATGTGCCAACCCGTCCTTCAAAAATGGGGGGGTAAATGTAACAGCCCCATAAGTGCAATTATGTACTATGTATGGATGTCAGGAATTGTACTTATTTACACTTAGTATTAAATCGTACTGTCAAATGTATTGTGAATATTTGAGTTTACCTGAAAAGCTGAATAGAAAACCACGACCTCACCTAACCGTCTTAGTTTTTGAAGATAAGCATTTTATTGCTTCTTAATTACAATTACTACTTAACCTATAGCTATATTGATATTAATTTTATAAAACAAAACCAAAATATTTCAATAAATTGTAAAGTAACTCAGGATATTTTCAAATTTTGTATAAAATCTCTATTGTTTAATAAAACTGAAAAAAATCCTCATTTAAAACGTGAGTATAGCGAACTGAACTTTAAAACTTCATCCTAAAATTCTTAAGTGTCTTAACAGAAAACGAGGAGAATTAAATGGGGAGGTAAATGTAACAGCCCCATTGTGCAATTATATACTATGTATGATAGTCAGGAAATGTACTTATTACAATTAGTATTAAAACGTACTGTCAATTCAGAGGTTGGGTTGCAATGTGAGCATATATCTGGTCATTATATCTTCTGATACCGATTGTTTTTATTTTTGATACAAAGCAGTGCTGTAGCACACTTTTAGTAGGAAATTCAAATCTCAATTTTTTTTCCCTGGATTCCTAACATCTGTTAATTTTGGATAGATTTTCTAGAAAACATATGAAAACTTAATTTTTTTTATTATTAATTTTCTGGGAGGCCCACTTCCAAGACCCTCAGTCTTATAACTGTGGGGCGAAGGAAGCTTGGGGATCAGAGTTCCACCAAATCCAGTAAAAAACACCTGAGAAAATAGGCAAAACTAAGCAAAGTACTTTCTAAACAAGGAAAGAAGTTTGGAGGCAAAACATGGACAACTATTGCAGGCGATGAGTCACAATAACGTGGCTGAAGTATGTTGACCAGACCACACACTAGAAATTGAAGGGACGACGACGTTTCGGTCCGTCCTGGACCATTCTCAAGTCGATTGTGATGAGGACAGGTAGGGACAGGCATTAAATAGGCAAGAGAGAGCTGAGGAGGAAAGTCAGGTGTAGGGGATAGTAGTCATCAAAAATGGACAACTATTATTGAAGCAGCTGAACAACACTGCCCTTCCATTGGGCTTTTTGTTACTCCTCCTCCTCCCTATGTACCATGTATTTGTACCATCTTATTTCTCAGTTGCTTTGCAGCAACTTGAACAAAAGGATTTATTTTTTTATGTGATACCCTATTCTCTGGTTGTTCATCTTGGCTCCCGAAGATGTCCTGCATTCAGAATTTGTTGGCAGTCTGCTCGTGAATTTGCTTCTTGTACCTCACCTAAGTTTTCTTCTTATGCTTGCAGTGTGTTATCTTGTGAAGGCTTTTATCTAGGTACAGTATTGAGCTTGTATATCTTTGACTCATTTTATTTCCAGCTTTCACTGATGTTCTCTTGACCTATTTTCTCTCAATTTAAAGAGACTTCCCTTGTCCATCTTGTCCATTCTCGTTTATATTTTGTACGTAGTGATCTTACCGGTTTTGATCACTACTTGCTCAAAGTGCGTAGTGATCAAACATACTTCTTGTACTTTTCTCTTTTGCAGTGTTTCCTTAACCGGTCTTCATTGCTTAGTCATATTAATTCAGGTACTAGTTTTGTTGCAAACCTGTGTTCCTATTCAAGTTTCTTTTTGTGCTTCATGAGGTGCTGATGTCATGTCAGTAGAGCATATTCGAAAACTGTGCAAATACACTTAATCCACTTAGGCTATAAGTGAAATTTTTTTCTAGAGTCCTTGATATCATACAATATCATAAACCTATGTCTTGGGTGATTTGAATGGAAACATTGGAATATTTCCTGAGTGTTACTGGTGTGTGGTGTGGCAGGAGTAAATGATGATGGTTGCAGTTTAAAACATTTGCAAAGAAAGTCATGCATTACTTATGCATAATTTGAACCTGAGCATATACGTAAGCACAAATGGTATTTGTAAGTGATGAAAGGGCAGACAAGGGACAGATGATGTACTTGTGGAATGCGGCAGTTTAAAGCATGCTTGTGATGCAAAAGCAACAATTTAGTATTTGGAGGGTTGTCTTGTTATGCACGATGAGATTAAACGGTAAATTTCGAATGGTGCCCCACAAACATGCAAAAGTGAAAGAATAAATGTTAAGAATATAAGAAAAAGAGCATAAGCAGAACATGAGAATATAGGACATTACAGTAGGCCCTTTTGGCCCATACAAGGCAACTTCTATTTGCATCCACCCAAACTCATTCATATACTATATATGTCTAACCTATACTAAAACAATCCAGCAATCCCACATCTGTTAAGTTACCTGGTAATTTGTTTCATCAGAGTTGACTGGGGAGTACATAAGGAGAACTAATAGTAATCTTGGAACAAGATATTTTAACCAGATGAAAGTTTGTCATGTGGGAGATTTACAAAGAATACTTATTTAGGAATGCTGAAATAGTGTATGGTGTTACACAATTTTGTATAAGAACAAGTGTAAGTGCAAGTGCTTAATGGGATGGGGAAGTAGCAAGAACAGTTGATGACAAGAAAAGTAGGGAATTTTGTAGAAGCAGACTCAAGAAAGACAAGGAAAGGGCTGGGCAGGAGCCTGTGACACTTGAGGGAAAACAGACAATCGTGTCTTCCGGATATCCCTGGAGACAAGGAGGTAAACCCAGTCAACCAGGATCCATGACTGCCCCAAAGCACCAAAACCTTTTCCCACACCATATTCTTACTTGTTCCTACAATAAAATGGCTGCTGGGAAGGACCGTAACTACCATAAAATAAGGACTCATTCAGAACCTTGTACATGTATATACACAGTGACGGTGTGGAGTTTCTATCTCCCAAACACAAATCAAAGTTGGAGAGAATCGAGGGATATGCCACCAGACTAGTCTCAGAACTGCGAGGTACAGGTTATGGGGAAAGAGTAATGGAATTGAACCTCTTATCACTGGTAGATAGAAGGGTTAGGGAAGACATGATTACCACATACAAAATTATCAAGGAAAATGACTGGGCAGACAAGGATAGATTACCGAGCTATACAGTATTTGGAATGGGTGGTACACAGACAAGTGAACACAGTACTCAAATCAACCACAGACACATTAGAAATTATTTTTGTATCATTATGTGCTCAGAGTAGTGGACAGATGTAAGGCATAATGAAGCAAAGTGTTGGGTGCTGACTCCTTACTTTTCACACTTAGATATGACAATCCAATATGCTCAGGAACTTCTAAATCAGTTGATTGATAGGTGAGAAGCAGGACCAAAGAGCCAAAGCTCAGTTCCCTGCAGGCACCCATCCCTACTTTCTCACTACCCATACCCATGCAGCACTATGCTCCCACCACCCATATCCATTTTTTCTGTGTCTATTTATGTTATATATGAAGGGGGTATTGTATTTGATCAAGAATACAGTATTCACAATATTGTTCATATTGTGAAATATGGCTGTCAGATGGGACTGGTGTCATCTTTCTCAGTCGGCTGAAATCTAAACTGTCATGATTCTTACCTGGTGTAGAAATTAAATGTTTTCCTCGTTTACATTGGGAATGTAAATCTAATATCAATTTCCTAATACTGTGCCTTTGGCAATCATTAGTCACTTGACTTAATGCATTTCAAGTGCACCCGTGTCATGCCTCATTATGTGCTCTTTATGTGTTAGTTCACTTAACCACCACCAAAATTATTTGCATACAACATTACAAAATTAAGGCCTATTTAACCAGTGTATGCAAAGTTGATGAACAGTGTCGCTAATTTTAAGCTTAGTTTGAAAATTCCCACCAACAGAAGAGCTGCGAGAGGAGCATGGCGACACCGCTACGATGGTGATAAACGGACGTCACGTGACCAGGATCGTCCGCCTAGTGTATCCAGTTCCAGCAGTGATGCGGATACACGAACCACGCCGTCGTCTAAAAGTTTTCTGGCCATGAGTGATCCATCTGTATCATATAAAGATGTACTTCTACGCTTCGCTGAACTAACTCAAATAGAGAAGCAGCCTGGTTCTCCACAGGTAAATACAGTATTTATATATATCCCATAAAGTTATTGTTATATTTATACATCAAGTAATTAGCAGATGAACTGCAAATACTGTATTTGGGGTAAGCAATTACAAAACTGACATTAGATACTATAAAGCATTAAGTGAATATGAATTAATCCAGACATATGCCAATTTGTTCTGTAATCATTATGTTGTAGGCTGACTCTTCAGTCAGGAGCTAAATTATTAATTTGCCAGTCATAAGTCAAATTTAATTAATTTTGTTTTATACAGTATCTACAGAATAAGATTTAATTCAGAAGCATATGCATGTACTATGTATCTATAAGAATCTTAATTTTGGATACACCATCACACATTTGCCTTATGACATTGTGTATTGCATGAAAGAAAAGTTCAGGCTATTATTTGCTTTCTTGTAACCATTTATGGGAAGTCAATAGGTCCTTGATTTAAGTGCTGGTCCAGCCATGCCTTGAGAAGATTTACAGGGCCTCGGAGACCCAGCTTTTTCCACTGTAAGCCAGAACCAGAATCTGGCTGTGTACAAGTGAAGTGGAGTTTAGGGCTCATGGGTTGACACAAAACTGAGGGAAAACCAACAGAAAGTAACAGTAATTACCTAAGTTTAATTACCAAAGTGTACTTGCAGGATGAGAGCTATGCTCATGGTGTCCCATCTTCCCAATACTCTGTCGTATAATGCCTTGAAACTACAGATGGTTTTGGCCTCCACCATCTTCTACCTTAACTTGTTCCAACCATCTACCATTCTGTTTGCGAAAGTGAATTTTTTTATTTTTTCGGCAGCTGTGTTTAGTTAGTTTAACTCTATGACCTCTTTGTTCTTGAAGTTCCAGGTCTCTGGAATTCTTCCCTATCAATTTTGTTGATTCCCATTACTATTTTGTGCGTAGCGATCATATCGCCTGTTTTTTTTCTAGTTTTGGTATATTTAATTCTCCTAACCTCTCCTCATAGCTCTTGTCTTTCAGTTCCAGGAGTCATTAAGTTGCACATCTTTGCACCTTTTCCAGTTTGTTGTGCTTCTCGAGACATGGGCACCATACAATCGCTGCATATTCCAGTTTTTTTCTCATGATGATCATGAACAATTTCTGGCCACCAAACAATTATAGTTTTGCAAAGACATCTACACTGTTTGTGATGTTGATATTCAACTTGAGTTGTAAATAGATCTAACGTTTGATGTGTCTATTAAGCTGATTGTTGAATTTTATCATTTTAGCATGTTGATATTGATATCATGTGATATTCATCAATAAGATTTATTTTATTTCCCTTAGATATCAATTTTCCCTGTGGGTAGCAGTGATGGAGGTCCAAAGAGGTCTGATGGTAGTCGAGAATCCACCCCAGTGATGAGGGATCAGACTCCCTCTCTTCCTTCTACTATTATTCCACCCACAACCAAATCCAGTTTAGAAGCACCATCAGCTTTAGCAAAGGTAAAATATATTAATTTAAGACAAAAGTTATTGGAGTATTGTACTCTACATTAAAACACAAAATATTTTACTTTGAACTTTGCCTGGCTTTCGCAAATAATATAACCAAATAGCCAGGTCAGGTTGACAATCCCTGCCCAATGCTACAGGGATATTTTCAAATACCAAACTATTAATGGAGAAAGGAAGAAACGGGAAGCTACCAAAGTTACCAACTGCGTAGTCAGCGAATTTTGTTTTTGGCACCCGTGCATACATGAGTGCATGTTTTTGGCACCCGTGCATACATGAGTGCATGTTTTTGGCACCCGTGCATACATGAGTGCATGTTTTTGGCACCCGTGCATACATGAGTGCATGTTTTTGGCACCCGTGCATACATGAGTGCATGTTTTTGGCACCCGTGCATACATGAGTGCATGTTTTTGGCACCCGTGCATACATGAGTGCATGTTTTTGGCACCCGTGCATACATGAGTGCATGTTTTTGGCACCCGTGCATACATGAGTGCATGTTTTTGGCACCCGTGCATACATGAGTGCATGTTTTTGGCACCCGTGCATACATGCGTGCATGTTTTTGGCACCCGTGCATACATGAGTGCATGTTTTTGCATACATGAGTGCATGTTTTTGGCACCCGTGCATACATGCGTGCATGTTTTTGGCACCCGTGCATACATGCGTGCATGTTTTTGGCACCCGTGCATACATGCGTGCATGTTTTTTTGAATGTTGCATGCCAACATGATCATTCCTCATTTTGATTATGCTACCAATTTTCATTTATCAAACCATAATAAATATATCATCTTGTTTGCTCAGTTTGGTAGTACAGTATAATTTTGCATTAAGATTTCTAACATTCATGATATTACACTTGGTTATGGATTGTAACTAACCATTGGTTAATGCTATAGTATGTGGTGTCTTCACCACAGATAATAATAATAATAATTCATTCTGTCGGGGGACAGGCAGCCAGGGTATGTTCATACATGTTAGGCTTATATCGAGCTTAACATGTATATCGAGCAGATAAAACCGACAAAAAGGTTGTTTAAATGACTGGACAGTGTCTTGGCCCCTGTCAGCAAACATGGCCAAGACATTGATCCCCTATAAAACAAATCTTCCAAAAAGCCATCCTGGTAAACTTGGAAGAGGTTTTGAGAGCCAAGTTCAACTCTATGGGCAGAAGTGTTAGGAGTGACCAGTCCAAAATCCTGGCCAGTCATTAAACCTTGAACCTTAAACCTTGGAAATTCAATGAAAGGAGCCAGGAATGGTTCTGAACCATCTGGTGAGCCACTGACACAGTTGACCATTGAAAGGTTGGACAGTGGATTTGAGCTCTGACCCTTGTCATGCCTTATATTGATCTAGGCATGATTAAAATGATCTAGGATCATTTTAACTTTTGCTTGAAACAGTCCAGTAAATCCCATGTCTTATTATTTTACCCAGTAATTTGTTCAGTAAATAAACAGCCCTCTTTCCGAATCTATAATTACTCGGGTCTTTTCTGAATGTAAACTTACCCAATTTGTATCCATTGTTTCGTGTTTTATTTTGTGCTGATATATTTAGCACCTTTATATTAATATTCCATTTGTTATACCCTTTTATATATTTGTATATGTCAATCATATCCTTCTTTGTAAGAGGGGTTTCTAATTCCTGGGATTAACTTATCCTTCTCTGAATATACATTCAAGTAAATTTATGTTCATTCTATTGTACAGTGACCAAAACTAAACTGTATAAACAAAATGAGGCCACACAAAGCCAAGATGAGGCAGTAAGCGTGACCTTACTGCCTCATCTTGGCAGTAACTGATCCTGGCAGTAACAGCAGTAACATCTTACTGCTTCATAAAATACCATGCCACATCATGTTAAACTTCAAGTACAATTAGTCAGACTTATCTTATCAAACTGCCATGGCTAAGAACACAAGCAGAAAGCTAAATGAAAACCTAAAACAGATCATAGAAATTGTCACCCTGTGGATAGGAGACTAGTGACCCCAGTGAGATGTACTTATTGTACTGGATTAATGACCTAGTGGGCACACGAGCTGTGACATGTGCCCGGCCCGCACCACAGCTGTTAAAGAATGGCTGACTGTACACGGTGCACCAGTAAACTACCATAAATGAAGAGGGATCTCAATTTGAGGTGGTATAAGCTCTACAAATTAAGGCACTTTGCGTTATTGGCACTGAACTCTGAGAACAGGCCATAGAGCAGTGAGGGACATTCAAAGTCTTGTAAACGATAAAATTGCAAAGCTCTGCATATTGGCCAAGTTTTCCATATACGAAGCAAATATAATAAGTGGTAAAACAGGTCAGACTTTTATGAAAATTATGTCCTCATCTGCTGATTAACATTGGGTATAATTAGGAAGTATGTGAGGGTTGGGGGATTGGAGGGGTCTGAATTTTAGGATTTGAAGGTATGTATTGTGCGTCTGGGTGGTGGCACCCGGGCATAGATATCGAAGCAGGCCAACTAATCCTTAATGAAATGGACACTATTGGTCCTTGAGCTTTGATTCATTTGCTGTTGGTCATTCTGATCTGGATTAATTTGTCTATATTAACAAATATAGACAATATAAATTAACATAACTATATTAACATAATATAGACATTTGTTAATATAGATGTTAACACAAACCCTGGTTTGTGTCTCGGAGAGGCTGTAGGATCCAGTAAGTTCAGTAGAACTTCGGTTTCAACTTTTTTGACCATGTCGTAGCTTAGTCAATAAAGGCAGCGTCTGGGATGATCTCGGACGTAGGTTCGAATCCTCGTCACGGCCCTTGTGGATTTGTTCGTTTAATTTGTCTATATTATTTCCTAACATTTTCATGAGCCTGTAGTAAAGTTCAAGCCTGGCCTCGGGCCGGTCTTAGGAAGAACAACTACTCCCAGAACCCTACCAAGCAGGTAGTATGAAAAGATCCCTATAGTGCTAATGCAATATGGTGTTCTACATGACTGCATGTTCATTGAACAGGAGATAATTCATATAATTTTCCTAAATACAGTACTATTTTTTCATAAGAATCTTAGCATTATTTCATGGCATTTGATTCTAGTGCTTTCAATAACATATTATCATCTACAGTAATATCCAAGTTATGTATATATTTGAGTTATTACAAATAGCACCAAACACCTGGCTTTATAAAGCAGTGAAGTGCTGCTGTGGGCGAGTGCTGGAGTGTGGTGGTGCTTGTTCAGCGATGATACTATATAATATGGATGATATGATGGACAAGTGCTATTTTTGTTTATTGTTGTTTTTCATTATATTGTTCCTCATTTTTCTTCAGGCTGATGTAATGAGATTTCAATGTGCATATTTGCATTTTAAATACAGTATTGATATGCTGCAAAACATAAATTTGTTGCAGATGAGGAGTCACAATAACATGGGAGAAATATGTTGACCAAACCACACACTAGAAAGTGAAGGGACGACGACGTTTCGGTCCGTCCTGGACCATTTCTCAAGTCACAATCGACTTGAGAATGGTCCAGGACGGACCGAAATGTCATCCCTTCACTTTCTAGTGGGTGGTTTGGTCAACATTAAATTTGTTTGCTTGAAATTATACTGGTCTTTTTCTTACCTCCTACAGCTACTATTGGAGTCCAGGGCCAGTGTAACTAGTAGTAATTTAGTCAAAGCTGTTGGAGAGAGTGCATCCAACTCCCAATACCTCACACTCTCTGCACTTCTCTCTGGCGGATCTACCACAACGGTCAAAGATAAAGCTGCTGCACACTCCCAGGTAAGTCACCAAATGGGAGCAGGATTGAAGGCTCTATGTACCTATGTACATGCAAATGGTGCTGAATACCATTACTCGTATGATTATTGTTGAGGTTTTCATTTTTTTTTAGTTCAGTACTGTACTGTAAAGCTGCTGCACTGTTGCTTCCTTAAACAGTGACATTGTCTTCCCAGGACAGAGTCAGCCACAGGATTGCCCATCAGAAAAAAAGGGTGCTTTATTACATTTAATTCTTGACATTTCAATGTAGTTACTTTTGCCTCTGACCTCATCAGATATAGCAGTATAATACCTGTGCACAAAATATTACAGTAGCTGTATACAAATGTTTGATGTATGGCTATCAAGCTTTTATTCAGAAGTAGCAAATCCTTTAAATTTAGGAAATTTGATAAAAATCTGCTTATTGCCTTTACAAGGAAGTGTTAAGATAGCACTCGTAAAGCAGTAACCCTTTGTGCCTAGTATTGTGTAAATTATGTGTGTTCTACTGGGTTACTTGTTAGTTAACTTCTGAAAAGGCTACAAATGTAATAAATGTCATTGTTACTGCATAGGCGGAAGGCCGAAATAAAAAATCGAGCCACCAGCAAGAAGAGGGAAGCGGAAACCCCAAGTGTCAGGGATGCCACAAGCAACGAGCACAGTTTGTGTGTGCAGGCTGTGGAAACCAGTGGTACTGCTCCAGGGAATGTCAGGTAATTATCCAATTTCCACTTCATCTTTCTGGTTCTTTACACTCTCTCATAATTAATCTAGGAATTGTTTAATTTACCAATCTGTTTCTATTCCCAGGGAAGTTCCAATTTTCCGGTTTCAAAAGCCATCCTTTATGAATCGATGCAATTCTTTTATTTATTCATTGATTTCAAGATATAATTTAGAACATGATTCTTTCTGCACTTGATTGCCTGAGTGGAAGTATATTTTGTAGTAGAGTAGTGAAAGATGTGGACAAGTAAAGTACTGTAGCTTCTTAGTGTCAATAACTTTTAAATATTTTGCATAACCAATTCTGAAAGCAACACACAAAATCTAACACACATACATATAAAGGTATACATACAGTACATATGTACATATTCAGAAAAGTATTATCATAATGGTTTGCTTACTTACTTAACTTCATATTGACACAATATATTTATTACAGGTGGCAGCTTGGGAGGAACATTCTGAACACTGTAATAACTAATTAAGGGTGGAGATGTATGCATATTTCCTAGACCGTACCTCCAGGTGAGTGTAACGTGTACGTATAGTTCATGACTACCAAAGTGAGTTATTCTCTTGTTTCACTTTTGTTTCAACGTTTATCTTGCTGTGCTTATCATATCTCGGTCTGTATTTGATCCTTTCTTCTTCCGGGAGCTTCCCTTTTTGGAGGTTAGGACTGACCTCATTCCCATACAATTTTTCCCAAACATTTTGGATCCCTTCGAGGACTGAAGATCTTTAAAGGAAACTGATAAATGCATGTCAGAGAAATCTGCTTGCTTGTGTGGTCATTATTTAAGTGATTTCCTGCTCACAAATGAATGTGAAACACAGGCATATGTTTTGGGTGGGATTGAACAAAAAAGAATGTGGAATACAAGGATATGTTTGCGAGAGACTAAACCCAGTGCTGAATGTAATGATACGCCTCTTTCTGGTAGAGCCCCAATTAATTCCTGAAGCTGTCCAAGATTACTACATGCTAAAAAAACAGATTAGCTTCAGAAGTTCTGTTTGACCGTTCGGGGACCACAGCCAGAACCTGTCTTTCTCATAGAGGCACGGAGCAAGTGAAAATTCGCCACCTTACCAGGAAAGCATCCAGAAAGTTGTCAAAGATTTACAAACATTTCAAGAGTTCACAGAAAATGAAGCCTCAAAGTGCCAAACAACTCCACAAATGATTTACAAAGGACAAAGGATTCATTAAAACTAGCTAAGAGACTTGTTGCTATTGATCACCACCACCAGGCAGCATGGCCCATGCTGCAGCCAGTCTGGTTTCCGGTAGGCAACAAGAACTCTGCGACTAATGACCCTCAACTAATATAGCACTATATCAGTAGGATTGCTTCTAGGAGCCTCTGGGGCTCACCCAGAAACTGGCGTTTCATTACATTCAACGCTTGCTTGCTATTTTTTTTTTTTTTTTTGTCCATATTATGATGCCTCTTCCTGCAGCATGGTCTAACCACACTACTGTCAGTAATTTTTCTACTTGCCAGGGTAGATAAATATAAATATAAATTCATATAAATAGGAAAAATGCATACAGATTCTTGAGTAAATGCATAGTTAAAGAATCACATTGTCAAGTATGATAATATTGGGCCACCTTCAGAAAATAAGTCACCAATTAATTGCATTGTATCATTTCTACTATAGTACAGTATATTAGTAAAATACAAAGAAGATTATTTTTGTTAATTATATTTACTAATGAAAGCGCAAGAATTTATGAAAATAAGGTAAAAAGGATTTTTTTTTTTTTTTTTTTTTATTATATATACAAGAGTTGTCACATTCTTGTACAGCCACTAGTACGCGTAGCGTTTCGGGCATTCGTTTTCGGGAAGCGTTTTAATTATTGTACAATGACAATCAGATTGCATCATAAATGCCTGAAAATTCTGATCTAAATTCAGATTTTTATTGGGTGATCTGGGAGCAAAATTGGTTTGTCATTTAGGTATACAGTACTGTATTTATTATTTACAGGTCAGGCCTTTGGAGGTTCCACTGTAATAAGAAATGGCTTGGAATAAAGAATTTTGAAGATTGGTGTTTTTGTAAATGTCATATTCTGAGTGTTTGACATTTAAATTTTGTTAATGGATTTAAAAACACAGCCTTAGGGATGTTATGTTTTAAAAATATTACACCATTTGCTAAGAGTTGAAGACAATTGATATATTTGACACCTTTTCCAAATGATTATGAATTATTAAATAGAATAAGGTGGCAATTATACTATAGTCAATTAACATTATTTTTTATGGTACTGACTTTTATTTATATTTTTTCAGATAACTGCAGAGAGGGGATAGAAGATCACCACAATTTTATAAGAAAATCTTTATTACAAAAACAATCTATTAATTCCATTTTCAAAATGATAAAAAATTTAGATTTGTTCTCATGAAAAGTGAATTTCGTTCACCATATTTTTTATATTTATGGTCAACAATACAAGCATCGTATGAACCTTTGGGGTGAAAAGTGTTGGATCATATCTGTCCGCAAGACTATAGAATAAGAATTCACTCTTGATAATGATACTGTGATATTTAAGTGCATTTTTTTGTATACAAGAAGACTGTCAACAAAATTGTTTTTATATGACTGATGCAGGCTGTGCCGAGAATAAGTAGCGTGTGAATCGTCAGCCTCCTTTACAACAACAGTGTAGCCTTACGTAAATATTTCCTTTTGATATTTGAAACTGTAGAACCGGACTTTGTATGAAATACTAATGATATTCAGTAGGTTTCTGGTATGGGATAGTTTATAGAATTAATTAGCAGAGTATATATTGTACTATACTTTGCTGCTTATGTACCATGTTTAAATTCTAAAATGGTTTTTAAGTGCTGATTTCTTGCTATTCATATGTGAAGAAAATAACCCAGAAAGATATCATTATCTATGAATATTGTACAGTATTTATATTCATGCATGAAAGGTAGATTGTAAGGAAATTTGCTCTTGTACTGTTTAGGTGCACCTTTGAGCCTTGAGTGTCTTGCTGATCTGAAATTTTTATGTCATCAATGAATTTAGATACTGTCATCGCTCTTATTTAAAGCCCTCCAATTTGTCATTTATGTTAAGTGACCCTCATTACAATCACTTTTAAATTTATAGCCCTTAAATTCTATTTACCTTCATTATTTTGTAAGCATAAATGTGCAAAATTTTAAAATTAAAATGTCTATTATAAAATTGCTGGATTTGATGAAGCTGACGTTACTGAATTGATTGAGCCATGCAGAGCCCGTATCAGACTTGCTTACTTCACATAGAAAAACAACAAAAAGATGTTGATGAGGAAGAAAGTGATATAATATAAATGTGGGAACATAGCAGGTAGTTTAAAAGGCAACAGGAAGGCTTTTGATCAACTTTGGAAGCTCTACCACAAGAAGGCATTCCAGATGTCTTTGGATAAATTTGTCAATTAGGAAGGCAGAAAGCACTACGAAAGAGCTCGGAAAACTAACTATGTAACATTTCCTTGAAGGATCCAAGGGAACAGCCAAGAAAATGGTGTCCTTGTCGCCTTGAGATGTAAAGTCAGATCAACTGGGCTGTGATTCATGCATTAAAGACTGCAAGCATCAGCATCTAACATCCTGGCTGACCAGACCACTAACTAAGAGGCCTGGTCAGAGACTGGGCCATGGGGACATTGATTCCTGGAACCACTAGTGACAATAACATGTCCAGTTCTGCTTTCTTGTTTCGGTAACTATTCAGGTACCATCACACCACATTAAGCCCCATCACACTGCTGCTCTATGTTGCAAGTATGAACTGTATTGTAATGTATTAATACTACATACTGTACTTCCATATTTTGATGATTCTGGACATAATTTAAATTTTTAAGGAATACGTATATCCTCACATTATACAATTGATTCTAGTGGGAAAGTTTTTATTTACGTATTTTTACTTTTAAGTTCTGATTTCCAGAAATGCATCCCAGATATAAATACAGGAATTAAAGTAAATATATACTTTAATATAATTCTCTGTTGGGCCGTAGAGCATGTGCTACATATGAAAAAAACCTAGGTATTGTGTCAATTTAAAGTCGAGACGTGTTGAATCTATCAGGCCTACTTTTCTGTTATTTTCATAGGTATTGTTTTAAATCTCTTCAGGGTTATTTAATCATCTTCGGTTGTCATCACATAATTTTCATCTGTATGTTCATCTATATAATTGTGGCTCAGATTTTGAAGTATTTCATCCTGTCTGTATTTTATACGTGAAATGTGCTTTGGTCTGAATTTAGTTTTTATTCATTTGGAGTTTCATTTCTCTGTAACCTAAGTAATTTTTGTTACTAATTTCAATTGTAGAGAAGAACAGTTATTATTTCCCCATTGACTTAACTTTTATTAGATTCACTTTGTAATTTGTCACTTTCAAACTCTTATTTGAAGTAATTAATTTCTTGTGTTTCTCCTCCTTTTCACCTTTTCTTAGCAAACACAAATTTTAATATGTATAAAAATATTATTTTATTTAACTGGGCCATTATCCAGTCTTTTCAGCCATCTCAATTAGTTGGAATTGGAGACAAATACCATATATGTGTAGCACGGTAAACAATGTTTTGAAGAATGCTGTCGAGCTGTCAGCTCTTGTGTGGCAACAAATTTAATGTTTAATAAAAATTCATTTGTGCCCAACTTGGTTCTGCATGCGCATGGTATTATGCACTGTGAATGAACGGATCAAACTTTGCAAACATGAACTATGGTTTCTTTCAGTAAATGAAGTACAGTACTCTTGTTCAAATTGGCTAAAAGCATTCAAAGACCATATGACTGTAGTATTTTAATTTAAGATTATTTTCTGATTCTCTACTCTAGATTTGGATGCAAGGCAGTGTTTGAAATTCAAAGCTAAATTTTAAGACTTGGTCATATTACTAATACAAAAAAAGAACGGCTTCTCAAGATATTTGTCAATATTTGGTGTAACCCATCCAGCAAATCTTGCCTCTAGTTGCTATTAAAAAAAAATCATTAGGGTCTTATAGTTTGAGTCGTATATCCTTAGCATCAATTACAGTACTCGCATTAAAGATCAGCCCTTTTGCAATATTTAGTGTGGCATATGAAATGGTTAAAATTTAATATAACAAAAGGTTATAAGACTTCATGGCTTTTCAACATTAGTAAAATCCCTTAATAGCAATACATAATACTTTTCCGACACATTTATGTAATTCCTGACAAGTTCGATTCATTTTTGTTATACAGTATATGATGTTGAGAGATCACGTTTCACCTTTCAAGGCATTTCCAGATGTTTTCTTGAACCCTCTTGTGAGTTGTTGCTTCTCTGAACCATGTTCCATTTTTAAGAATATTTATATAACTAAAGTGTGTGATGAAGTACAGTATAAATAATTTCTTTTAAATTGACACATTCCATGCCAGATATCCTACTTGAAATTTTATGCCCCTATAAATATCGTACTTGACCTTGCAGCGCAGTACTTTCAATGGTGGTAGGTCCTTTCATTAAAGGAACTTCATAATTTATATATTCATCTATATGGCGTGTAAAGCACAGACCGATTAGGAACTGTGATCATTATATATTTTTGTAGAGAAGATATAACTGTAAATGTAGTTAAAATCCACCAGGCCTATAGGCTGTGGTTCTACCAGTTTGAGGGAAATTACCTTCATTGAAAATTAAGAATACATTTTCAGTAGAATAAGAGCGTGATCGAGTGCATTCTGGGACTTTATTTAATTAGTGTTTCTACCTGTTTTCTGCATTTTTGCTTTAGGTTGACAAATCTTATTTTTATTTAGCAAGATGTCTTCATTTTTATTGGCTTACTAGCTCAGTATAAATTGTCAATTATTTTTTTTTTTTTTTATTTAAATTACATTTTCTAAAATAGGTTGTGAGCCAGCATAGTTACATGCTGAGTGAAGTAATGTTATATATTGTAGTGATTGTGGATTTTTCTTAACTACTTTATAAACTAAAGAAATTGAAGCAGATAATTCATGGGAGAAAGACACATTCAGTCTTTTATTGTCAGAGTACAAATGCATTGCTTAGTGCAGCTCTTGTCATTTGTTTATTATTATAAAGTCTTCCTTAATACATTTTGCAGGGATGTTTTGTCATCATTGTTTACATATTATATATTGATATATTCTTCATCTCTAAGCCAGCTTTGGATTTTAACTAATGCTTTTTTTATATATATATTATGTAGAGTATAAAAAAAAGTTTCCAATTAAGTGTCTAACAGACTAGTTTTGTTAACATCAGTAAGAACCATATAGAACAGCTGAATTATGTGTTCTTGAACACGGCAATATGTTTCTAGTCATATCATGTCAAAACTAACATGCGTTTCTTTGCTTCATGTACGTAGCCGTGTGGTAGAAGGTTAGGAGAGGTGGTGACCATCATCATCTCCCACACACACACACTCTGGGTGTGACAGTTCCTCTCCTCACCTGCCATGTTGCAAGGCTGCGTCATTCCCATGATCAGTTCATTTATCACAACCTGAGTTTCTCGTACTTTTTTCTTTGATTTTACCTATCACAAATTTTTGTTTCATCCCCTTTCTCTCTTTGACTTTGTCACTCAACACATTGTAATTTTGTATAGGTATTCATCAAAGTAAAGTAATATATTGACCTTGATTAGTTGACAGTATTATATTGTTGATATACAGTACTTATTGATGATGGGTCAAACTGAAGAATTTATTGGATTTTTTTTTTTTTTTTTTAATAATTCGGTGATTCATACAGGACACTGAATCTCTGATAATCTACGTTTAGTTTTATTTCACTAGTATTTTATTAAGAAAAGGTATTATCTAGTTAGCTTATACCTTGCTCTTAATTTTTAGCAGTGATCTTGATTGAGGAAACGGTTAAATATTTGCGGATTTTTTCAGGGCTCTTGTCTGCCCGTATTTATTTTACCCCGAAGAATATTTTGAGAATCAGTCATGAAACTGCAGAAATTAAGGGGATTGGCCCATCAACTTGATTTTGTGAATAAATTAATAGCAAAACTGCCAGAATAAACCATATTCTGAAATTCTACTTAATAAATATGGACTTAGGAGTGACTTAATTGCTCATCTTTTTACTGAACGCTTGTTGCCAGTTGCTTTTCGGGCATGTCAATCATTTTCTTTGATGTTACATACTGGACAATTTTTAAATTACATTTGAAACAAAATGCAGCCTTATGCCTATTTTTTTGTTGCATAGTGGAAGTTTTGGACTTCCAACCTTTGTGACCTGAGGGTTTATCTGTTAACTACCATGTTTGGCCTAACCTTCTGGCGAGTTTTGTGCTGCAAGAGCAAATAAGTATGATTATCAGTGTATGATTGAATATGAGCAAGTTGATTAGGGCTTCAAGGTACATTTATGTTGTAAATAGTTTTTATGGTTTCAGTAGAGAGAGAACTTCTCATTGACTGATGGTTTGAAAGGTAAGTGTGGAGACATCCAATAACTTCAATTCAACACAATCAATCAGTCATGCAGATAATACCTACAGATAATATTAAACTCAGAGGAACAATGTCTTAAATGTTTTTTTCCAGTTTAAGGAACAATGTATAGGTTGGAAGAAAGTTGACTACTACTCATTCTTGCAGGGTTGAATACAGTTACCATGGGTACAATTGTACTTTGCAAGTTCATGAAGTTTAGTATACTTTGGGACTACCTACTGAACTGTGTTGGCTTAAGCCATGAGATGTACATTTCATGATACGTAATGTAACGAGCAGTGTTCTTAAAGGAGAATCGGTGAGGCTCGTTTCCCTCCCCTCCCCAAAGTTGTCGGAAAATGAACCCCAGTGAATCTCGCATAAGAATAACATTGTTCGTTTCATTTCAAAATGGGAGATGTTGTCCAGTTTTTCATCAGTCTTGTCTAACATTGTAATGGTTGAGTTTTTTCTATTGCATGTAATACTGTCTTCTGATGAATTACCAATGAAGCTTGTGTACCTGGTTCAATAATTACTTTTGAATCAAATAAAAATTATAATGCAGGTGATGACTATACTGGACAGCATTTTTATTCTTAATGACCAGGGAGAGAAAGTATGATAGCTCGTATTTGGGAAAGAGAAGGGTATTGTCAGTACAAAAATACTTTTGTTAACTAAGAATTCTGAAATTTAGAGTATGCGTTACCTTAAAATTAGATTCTGGTTATCCCCTTGCAAGTGTTGGTTAATGATGCAATATGCCATAGTGGCCATTTTTTCCCCCTTCAAATGTTGTGAGTTTATGACAACAGTAGGCCTATAGTATTTATTTATTTATTTTTATAGCAATAACTATTCTATTTTCCGAATGTTCTACAATTTTAAATACTTTGAATATAAGGTATGTAGGAACATGAAGTACAGGACAGTATATATTTTCCTAAGCTGGCAACACTAATCGGATTGAAAATTTGGCTACGTAGATGCGTGCAGTACACGTAAAGTAACGATATGGCTCACAAGGGGTTTTAACTACACGAGGGATGATAAAAGTATTGGTGTGCTTCCCGTGATGTGTTGCTTCTCTTCACAGACAATACTGAATAGTATTTTTTTTTTTTTTTTCCTTTCTTCATTTATGAGGTAGTGCCACACTGACCTGTAAACTGCATTGATTCCACTTTCCTCTGTGTATCTTCTGCCAATGTGGACATGTTTTGTGAATTATATTTTACTTGAGATTATTTATTTAAAAATGATCCAAAATTGAGTGATTTTTAGTGCACATTTTTAATGTAGTTTCCAAAAATTATGTAGATGAAAGGTTAAATACTTAAAAACTCATTACTTTTTTTCATATATTTTGCTTTAACCAGAGCTTTATTGTAAAGTGTGAATCATGCATACTTGTCAGTCACTTCTTAACTGTCCACTTTCTTCCTTGGTCATATCCATTGTGATAGGTTTAGAACGGGAACCGAGTACCTGGAGATTTATCTAAGGTTTGTATAAAAAATTCTTACCCAAAAATTACTTAAAAAAATTAACAGCGAGGCGCAGACTCAGATCTGGCCCGAATAACCAGCAGTCACTGCCACGATGTAGAAAATTCGGCCTGTCGTCTCCAACAGTGGGAACTGGGCTTGAAGTCTGAGATAAGTACTGCAGAGTTAAAACTAAAGTTACGGAGTAAGAATTTAATGTATTATATGTTTTGTCTGTGCATAAGCCACCAATGTTATATGTTTGATGAATAATTTTGTCTGTCACACTGTTATTAGCTATTTATGTGCAAATGATGTATGCTGTTCAAGAGATGTTTGGTAGGATAGTGCCAGTCATTTTGATGCCATCAAATTGAATTCCTGTTATTTTTCTTGAACAGCATTTGAATTCTCCAGATCCTCCTCTAGCTCACAGAACATGTTGATGTCACTACAAATACGGTTGGACTATTGACATACCAGGTTAATGATTGATATAAGTATAAAGTATCCCTCTTCCTCATGTGAACCACAAGCAACTATAGTAACCAATATCGCAATTTCCATTCCATGAGTGTTTTATTTCAATTAGATTGCGGAATTCCACACTTAATGGTTATCCCCCCCTGCTTAAAAAGAGAGTGCGTGCCAGGTTAAATTTTTTTTGTATTAGTTTGCTGTTTATATTGAATCAAATTGTTTTTTAAATAAAGATAGTGAAATCTTCTTTTTATTTGTTAACCTTTTATTATAGTTACCAACACTAATTACCCAGAGATTGTCTTTGACAATACAGTACTTTAAAAGTGAATAAAGAAAACAGTGCTTTAGAAAGTTGTTCTCTTACATATGTCAGAGACTCGCTCTTAATCAGGTATCTTCAGAAGGCATATACAGTATTTAGTTTCTCGGAATTAATGTTTTGTTATAAAACATTTGGCGCCCCTATGATATCTGGAAAATACTTCTGCATATTGACTTATGTACTTGCCTAGTTGTGCTATGGGGGTTGAGCTTTAGCTCTTTGGTACCGCCTATCAACTGGTGTACAGATTCTTGAGCTTATTGGGCTGTATTAAATCTACATTTGAAACTATGTATGGAGTCTGCCTCCACCACATGACTGCTTAATGCATTTAATTTAACTGACACTGAAAAAATTCTTTCTAATGTCTCCGAGGCTCATTTGGGTAAATAAAGGAAAAACACCAAGTGTAAAAACATTCACAGCTTGCAGTTGGGGGTTCTGCAGAGTGCAGTACCAAGAGGAAAAAATGTGTACAACAAAAGCAAGAAGTAGGTCTTGAGAAGGAAGGAATGTAGCTGGAGGCCACTGGGATGCGAGAACAATCAACATGGACTATTATGGAGACAGAAGTGAGGTAGGCATGGAGAGTAAGTGCTGCATTACATGACCACAGGTATCGACTCCTGTGTCAGGCCTCCCGTGAGCCATCTTACATGGGTAGATAGGAACATAAGAATTACGGCATACAGCAGCAGACCTGTCGGCTCAAACTTAAGTTTGTCCTGTCCCATCTATTCTTGAAATCTGTTGCCATCTCCATAATACTACCTGGTAGCCCATTCCGTTCATTGGTGAACATATTCCCAAATCAGTATTCCCCCTTATCACTCATAAAATTAAATTTCTTCAGCTCATGTCCACTGTAGTGGGTACAGAGACCTGTTCCAGCCGTTTCAGAATGCTGTTTATAGTCTCTTTATCTACACTCCTAACCCACTTGAAAACCTCAATCATATTTTACTTTGTAATATTGCACAGTCTAATTATGATAAACAATTTTGTATTTTGCTTGCAAATAAAATGGGAAATATTAGTAATCATTAATTTAACATACAGCCTAGTCTTTAATGAAACTTGTACTGTATACTGATAAGAATGAACCTGACTGTACTTCCTTCTCTTGACTCAACTGAGAATTCTGGGGTCGAATCCCAGGCGGAACAGAAATGGTTGGGTGTGTTTCCTCTTGCCCAATGCCATTGTTTACTTACCAGTAAAAATGTACCCGGGAGTTAGTCAGCTTCTTGTGGGGTTGCATCCTGGGAGGATGTTCAGTAATTCAACCCTGGGGGCGACCTCAATATAATAATTAATTTGTTGTGTCGGAGGGACAGGCAGCCAGAGTGTATTCATACACGTTAGGCTTACACAGAAAACCCCCCCACCCCTCCAGGTCAAATTACTGACCCCGCCCTGGATGCAACCCCACAAGAAGCTGATCAACTCCTGAGTACCTACTTTCTGTTAGGTGAACAGGCACATTAGGTGATAGGAAAGGCGCCCAACCATTTGTCTCGCCCAGGATTTGAAACCAGAATTCTCGATTGACAGTTGAAAACAAGCCTGACTGTATTACTGGGATTCTTATAATAAGCCTAGTATGTATATATACACTGGCTGCCTGTCCCCTGACACAATGAATTATTATTATTATAAATACATATATAAACATAAGCAATCACCAGTGTTGCAGCACTGGGGGTTTCCATATATACCTGGTAATTTTTGTGTACTATGGTACTGTATACAGTATTAAGAAAATCTATAGGTTGCCTGAATTTATTATTTCATCTCAAAATTGGATATATACAATGTAAAAAAGGAATATAAATTGTTCATAGTCTAAGCACATTAGTGCTTAGACTATGAACAATGGATATTTTGTCCCATAGATACTTTGTCCTATGGATACTTTGTCCCATACCTTCTAACCTCTTGTGCAAAATTTGGATGTAACTTTTCTCTAGTTCACAAAATGGACTGTTAAAAGCTGAGCAACTAAAGAAGACAGATATTAGTGCTCTAATGCTGCTGACAATGAAATAAGGAGCAGAACAAGGTATTACATATTTCCTGGTAATGCCAGGTTGTGGACCAGAACAAAGATAGCATGGAGCTGAGCAGAGAGCACCAGCAGACACCAGTACACTATGAATCTCTCCCCTGGGGGGATAAATCCTTGCCTAAGAATAGATGTCAGGTCCTCTTCCATGGGAATAAGCCTCTGCCCCGGGGACATCCAGTATGAGATTGGCTCTACCTCCATCAGGACCATTAGCTCTTGTTTGGCCACTGTCGCCTTCTGGGTAGTGTCCACAATACCATCTCGTCAACCTCGCTCATCTTCCCAAGCCACTCACGCTTGCTCTGGTCATCTAGAAAGTAACTATCTAGTTTATTCACAAAGTTTATATCAGTTCGAGAAATTAATACAACAATGGTTTAATGGATATACAGCTTTCATGGTTACAAAATTGTATTAATATAATTTCTTAAATAATTTTTGTAATGTACTGTATTTTATATATTTACAAGTATAGTAATTTTCAAGGGTTTCCTATGGAACCAACAAATGGTGTCCAGTTTTTATTTTTAATATGATGTGCAGGATTAACATATCAATTGTGACACTAGCTCTCCACATATGTCAGTTGCTTAAATTAGAAACTCGTACGTGTAGTCGATCTCGAACCCATTGATTATGTGACGATGTGTATTGAATTTTGTAACTAGCTCATCAAGATTGTAACTTGCTTAGCTAAATGAATTGTGGGGTTCAGTCTCTGAGCCCATTATGTGCCTCTAACCCTTCCCACTACTGCTCACAAGATGAGCATGGGGTGCATAATAAATGAACTAAACTAACTACTGTAGCTCACATTCTGAAGGAAGTTAGATGTAAGACATCACCAGGTGAACCCATCCTCAGACAATTCTCACTTACGTTGCAGCTTACCTTAAAAACACATTCATCAATTTTAACACACGGTGTGAACAAAAATTATATTTGAGAATACCTGTACCAGTATTAATTAATATAGTATTAATTTATACAGTATTATAATTTTCTTGTATTGTTTGGCCTAGAACAGGTTAGATTAGTTTGTGTTTTGATTATGTTGACAATTTATTTGTATAGTATCTGCAGTACATGGGGTGAAATGTGTAAAAGGGTGCTATTCAGTACAGAAAGACACCAAGCACCAAAATGGTGGAACATAACCAGTCATCATATGTAACATACTTTTCTACTCATAAACGGGGGTACTCACCCTTCGGGACCAAATTTAATTAATTAATAGGGAGTTTGATTGCTAGATTAACAAGCATTTAGCCATTGTTTTATGGACAGGCTGCACGAGGATATAAATAACCTTAAGAATAATCACAGAAGAGTTTTATATTTGGTGCAGATGATCACATAACATTAATATGTAAATAGTGATGTTGTTAGCGAGTGGGAATGAAACAATAGTTAATGAAGCATTTTACAGACACAATTTGATACATTATTCACAATTTTTTTCAGATGAAATAAATTATTGAGAGCAGTCAAGGATGTAATGTTAACTGTACCTGTAATTTACATTTATATTAAACCTTGCACACACATATGTAACATTTAGTAATACTGAACCTGTGTTACAAATATATGTATGAATCGGTATTGTACAGCATATAGTTTCTTCTAACATACAGGATGAGAGCCTGTAATAATGAGGGCTCGTGGTGTCCTGTCTTCCCAGTACTCTTGTCAATATAACGCTTTGAAACATGGAAAAAAGTTGCAACTCTAATATATAATAGGTGTGCACAGTATTGGGTACATTCATGAATTAAGAATCTAAATACAAACCATTTAAGTCAAATTAACAAGAGCAATTAAATAAAAACACTGAACAAGCAAATGTTGTCATTAATAGAGGAGTACAGGTACTGTACTGTATATAGGAGCTATATAAGGTCTATTGGTCTCTGCAAGAGAGTTCTTATCCAGCCACACATACAGTACTTCCATTTCTCTAACCAATACTTAAAACAATCTAGCGACCCCATGTCTATCATATTATCTGGTGTTTTATGAATTATAAATCCTATTTCTAAGGTAGTATTTATTCTGGCATTTTCAGAATCTAAATGTACACAATTTTAGTTCATTGTTGTAGTGTTCTAAGTTTATTTTGGCAAATTTATCATCCAATTAATATCCTCTTTATGAGCTTTGTATATACGTAAGTTATAGTCACCCCATTAAACAACGATAACGATAATATGGAAAAAAATGGAAAAGTTGTTGTGGTGGCCTTAACCCTCTAGACTGAAGGCTGACAAGCCTTAAACACAGCACCAAACCTTAACAGTCAGTGAGCCTTGGGCCAGCACTGGAGGAGCACCTCTCACGTTGGTCTCCAGCAACACCGTCTGCTCCTGCAAGCTCTGCTTCCCTAGTACCTGGTTGATACCAGTCTGCCGATCCTGCCCCACTTCTTGGCGTTGAGGTAGTTACTTTAATTAATAATAATAATTCGTTTTGTTCGGGGACAGGCAGCCTGTGAAAATACTTTAGGCTTCTATTGAAGCCCCCGCCTTCCCCAAGGTCAAACTACTGACCCTAACCAGTATGCAACCCAGCAACAGTCGACTACCTCAAGGGTACCAATTCACTGCAAGGTGAACAGACACATTAGGTGAAAGGAAACATGCCTGAACCATTTCTGTCCCGCCTGGGATTCCTGATTGTGAGGCGAGAATGAACCCAACTGAACTCCCAAGACCCTGAACTATCTTTAGAACTAAGGTACACTTGCTTTTGCGGTTGGCTTAATACCCCCCCCCCCTTGTACACGTTGATAGATCTTAATAGATGTTAAGCAACAGGTAACCATGAGGTACGGTGACCCACCTGTGTGCTCCCAGCGCTGCGTCCCGCCTCTGGCTCCCGTCACCGACTATACTGAGACTGTGGCTGCCACCAGTTACCTGACCTCTGCTGGGCTCCCACCATCCAACGTCTTCCTCTCGCCTTCTACTTTTCGATTGATTGATGAAGATTAAGCCACCCAAAAGGTGGCACGGGCATGAATAGCCCGTAAGTGGTGGCCCTTTGGAGCCATTACCAGTATCATTAGCTGATACTGGAGATCTGTGGAGGTGCGACTGCACCCTACGGAGAGGTCGTGACCTCTGTGTCGCCTCCTTCTTTTTAGCATTTCCGGATTTGAAAGATGTTTAAACAGATTTCCTTACATCTGATGCTCATAGTTATAAGTGGGTACCTGGGAGTTAGGAAACTGTTGTGGGTTGCAAGCATGACGAGTAAGGTCAGTCACTGGCCTAGGGCTCTAATGGGGGATCTTAATGAACCTAACAGGCTTCCTGTCCACAACAATGGAGAACCATAATCCTGTCAGACAACCTGCTTAGTCATTTTGGTTTTGTTGACAGTGGTTAGAATGTAGCAACATCCTCCAGTACCCCGTCCCCACAAACAATAACCTAATTAATGTTCGTTAATACAGCCGCCAAATGAATAATGTTTATGAATAAAACATACATTTTACACACTCCCTTGTGCTCAACCTGTCCTAAGACTAGGCTTGTAAAAGCTGCGGCCGTCCCCCCCCCCCAAAGCAAAAACGCATTCCGCAGTTTGAACGTATTGTAAACCTTTTTTCATTCATAACTTTTACATGATTTACATGAGGGGCCACTAATCCTAGTGGCCTCGACGAGGACAGGAAGCCGGCAGCTTGTCGAAGGTTCTCCCCCCCCCCCATTTGCCTTGATGATCTTTTCCAGGTATATTTTAAAACTCAACACAGTTTTGGCAGTTACGGCTTCGGCGGGTGAAACTCTATAAACAGTCTATAAACTGTTTATAATTTAAAACTAAATAAAGTCTATGCAATAGATCCAGCTACCTATAAACAGGTTGCTGGATTAATAAGCATTTGGCCTCTGTTGATGATGAGGACGGGCTGCTTGTGCTACTGGTGACAGTAGCACCCAAAAGTGATTCCATGCACCCACCAAAGCCCATGTATATGAATGAAAAACGGTTGACTCACGACTCTCAACTGATGACATTCGAACAATTATTGTTTCAGACTCTACTGATGACATTCGAACAATTATTGTTTCAGACTCTACTGATGACATTCGAACAATTATTTGTACAAATACAAATAATCGTCTACAGAACCTGCTGAACACCTAACGTATACCTATATATGCACAATATGCTAATATATTATAATAATAATTTATACTTGAGAAAATTCCCGCTTTGAATGAACTGCATTGTAAAATTTATGAATGCGTCTGTGGGGGTCGACCCCTGGATGTAATAGACTTGAGTCGAGGACGGCCCGTCCCTATGTATGCTTCACCCACGTACTATAAATTCAAATAAATGCCCAAAGACCCTAACCTAATCTATTCCTAAGTATATGCACAATTCTAATATATATAATATTATTAAGATATTTAAGGAAATAACGATTTTGAATGCACAGTATAATGGTGACGTCTGCACTGACAATGGCCTCAGTTTAAACGTCCACAGCCTGAGGATGGGTCACTTCCCAGCTGTTGCCCCTCACTGCTATTGCGTTCCGTCACTTCTCTGTTGTGTTGCGTCTCTCTCCAGCTCTTCTCTGCTTTACTTAGGCAGCGTTCCGGCTATCTTTCAGACTTTGTCCCGGCCTCCCATGGGTATGTTGATTTAGGGCCGACGACGACGACGACCCATGGTACATTCGCCCGGGCCCGGCGAATGGTACATTCTGGTACATTCGCTCGATGCGCCCGGGTGCATTCTGCCTTCCCCCGGTACTACTGGGAGACCTGACCAATCTATCATATGTCTGATGCCCTATTGATATCATCAGCAGCATATTTCATGTGTATGTGTATGCAAATTGAGTGTGTGTGAGCTTGGGGGAATGTTAGTAGAGAGTGTGTGTGTGAGTTTGGGGGGATTGTGTGTGAGCTTGCGGGAGTGTTGGTGTGTGAGCTTGCGGGAGTGTTGGAGTGTGTGTGAGCTTGGGAGTGTGTGTGAGCTTGGGGGAGTGTTGGAGTGTGTGTGAGCTTGGGGGAGTGTTAGTGGAGTGTGTTAGGTGGGTGAGAGAGCACACAGCAGGAGTTAGTGTGTGAGTGCCAAGGCCGGGAGCCCCGGGGGGGGGGGACAGCTGCCAGCGAGGCAGCAACGCGCACTACCAGTCTTCTATTTTCACACCACACATATCACCTTTTGGGATTCGTTTTCTCATTTAACGAATTATTTGCTTGCATACAGTTCCATATAATGGAAGGGAACATGTTTACATGTAAATAATTTGCTTTAATTTTAACTTTTTCGTGTAATTTTATTTTTTTATTTTTTATTACGTCTTGGTGTTAATAATTGTTGAAAGCTGGCAGGTGTTGGCTGAGCAAAAACTGGCTGATAAGTGTTGTTGATTGTCATTTATGTTCTCCGTGGACCGTACTTATCAGCCAATATACATTGTTTACTTAATTCCTGAATTTTGGTGAGGATTATTTCGCGAGGGTGTACTAGGCTACATAACGTTTACACCAGAGGTAGCCTAGGTTTACGTCGTAATGTACCTAGCTGTCCTTAGGCCGTAATCTAAGCACCTTACGAAACGTAGCCTTCTGTACGTACGCCAACTTTGTCATGTTTATATTTTTTAGCACTTTTTCCTAGTCTTAAATTGAAATTTCGATGGGAGGATAATATTGTATTTTGGTTAATACAAAATATGTTGTACTTGTATGCTGTACTAAAGACAATACAGTGTTGTGGTCCCTCGAGGGCATACTTATAGCAGCTGTATTTTTCTGTGCTCAAGACTAGTGCTTATACTTCCACATTTTTCTCTTGTGGAGAATTAGCATGCACACTCTTGGCAAGGACTCGTGTAAAATTTGCTACAAAAAGTATTGCATTGTTCGGCGTGCCGAGGTACCAGCACTGGTGGAGGTTAAGCCAAGGTGGGGATCACTTGGCATTCTTGACGTCTGTGAACTGCAAGCAGGAAGAGACCCATTCTGTGTTGCGTTGTGTTTGTCCATACCAGTGGGAGAGGCTTCTTGTGTTGTGTTTGTCCATACCAGTGGGAGAGGCTGCTTGTGTTGCGTTGTGTTTGTCCATACCAGTGGGAGAGGCTTCTTGTGTTGCGTTGTGTTTGTCCATACCAGTGGGAGAGGCTTCTTGTGTTGCGTTGTGTTTGTCCATACCAGTGGGAGAGGCTTCTTGTGTTGCGTTGTGTTTGTCCATACCAGTGGGAGAGGCTTCTTGTGTTGCGTTGTGTTTGTCCATACCAGTGGGAGAGGCTTCTTGTGTTGCGTTGTGTTGTCCATACCAGTGGGAGAGGCTTCTTGTGTTGCGTTGTGTTTGTCCATACCAGTGGGAGAGGCTTCTTGTGTTGCGTTGTGTTTGTCCATACCAGTGGGAGAGGCTTCTTGTGTTGCGTTGTGTTTGTCCATACCAGTGGGAGAGGCTTCTTGTGTTGCGTTGTTTCTATAAATACCACGGGAAGAGGGAGGGAGGGAAATATCAGGGGAAAACGCCAAGTTATTACGACTATGTTGCACTTGGAAGGGGTCAGGATAAGAATTTGGGATGGGACGGGGGGAAAAAATGGTGCCCAACTACTTAGACGGTCGGGGATTAAACGCCGACCTGCATGAAGCGAGACCGTCGCTCTACCGTCCAGCCCAAGTAGTTGGACATACCACGGAAAGAACCACCGACTATTGCGTTGTGTTTCCATACATACCTTTGGGGAGAACTGTTCTGTATTGCATTGTATTTCTGTCCATACAATTGAAAGAAATATTGTGTGTTGCGTTCTTTCTGTCCATGCCATTGAGAGGCCCCTTGAAATTGAAATAAGTTTATTGAGATTAAATACACACAAAGGGATGAAAAATACACACAAAGGGATGAAAAATACACACAAAGGGATGAGGTAGCTCAAGCTATTCTCACCCCGATCAAGAGGCCCCTTGTATTGTATTGTTGCTATCCACTACTGGGGAGAGCCTGCTGTCGTGGGCCTTGCCTGTTATAACATGTTTATCCAATCAATGTTTGACAGTTTTCTTTATAAACGTTGATCTCGTCGAATTTATTAGATATTATTTTCTTGATATGTCTTTTTCCATTGCCGTTTCCTTTACGATAGTCCTAAAATAATATCTTGTACTTAATGTTGACCTTTAAACTCATTTAATTTAGGTTCTAACGACGTATGCATAGCGTATATATTTATACGCGTTTTCAGGTAGTTTGGAATTGTAAATATTTTGTCTTTCAAGCGTCACATGCACACCCGAGCAATTGCATTGATTGAATAATTTCATTTTTAAGATTAATGTCACATTAACGAATTATTTGATTTCATACAATTCTATATCAACTGAGTGAGAGTAGTAAGTATATGTAAGCGGTGAAACAAATTGTAACTTTTTAATTATGCCAAGGTGTTAATAATTGTTGACCCTCTGGTAGGTAGTGTGTATTGACCCACTGGTAGGTAGTGAGTGTTGACCCCTGGTAGGTAGTGAGTGGTGACCCCTGGTAGGTAGTGAGTGTTGTCCCCTGGCAGGTAGTGAGTGTTGACCCCTGGTAGGTAGTGTGTGTTGACCCCCCTGGTAGGTAGTGAGTGTTGACCCCTGGTAGGTAGTGTGTGTTGACCCCCTGGTAGGTAGTGTGTGTTGACCCCCTGGTAGGTAGTGAGTGTTGACCCCTGGTAGGTAGTGTGTGTTGACCCCCTGGTAGGTAGTGAGTGTTGACCCCCTGGTAGGTAGTGAGTGTTGACCCCTGGTAGGTAGTGTGTGTTGACCCCCCTGGTAGGTAGTGAGTGGTGACCCCTGGTAGGTAGTGTGTGTTGACCCCCTGGTAGGTAGTGTGTGTTGACCCCCTGGTAGGTAGTGAGTGTTGACCCCCTGGTAGGTAGTGAGTGTTGATCCCCTGGTAGGTAGTGAGTGTTGACCCCTGGTAGGTAGTGAGTGTTGACCCCTGGTAGGTAGTGAGTGTTGACCCCCTGGAAGGTAGTGAGTGTTGACCCCCTGGTAGGTAGTGAGTGTTGACCCCTGGTAGGTA